TGACCGGCTGACTCAGCCCGGAGTAGAGGAGTCCGGCTCCGGGAATTTCCGGGCCCGGAGCGGCCAAACATAGCCGGACGGCCGCAGCTGAGGTCAAGGACGTTCGAGTCGACTCACTTTCGCTGCGGGGTGCACTCACGCCCGCTGACACGCTGTACGCTCTGTGGGGCGAGGGAGGAGTAAATACGTCATAGGAGGTGACAAATATTGGGTGTCGGTCCCCGGAATGGCCAGTCATGTCCGCCGGACAGACCCATGTGCCGACTGGAGACTGGCGTCGGGTGGCACAGGTCAATCGTGCACGCCGAGGGTTATGTAATGGTGCTTGAGCTCACTGATTTGGTACTGAGAAAGTAGGGACGCGCACTTTCTTTCCTTTGGGTTGGCTAACTGACACAGTTTGGCGATTACAAAGCCCCAGTGGAGCACAGAAAAGCTAACTCACCATACCTGACAATATCGGCCGTGAGTGGTCAGGGGGGTGGCACGTCACTGTGACGGTCCAATTGACCAATCGTGACTTCTGCGCCCCTGGTACGATTGCTTAGTTCATTGTCCACCCCGACTCCAATTTATTTTAGTTAACCGATGGCTCGGAGGGGAGATTTGAAAATATAATTGGTCTTTTATTCTTTATAGTTAATATGTCTATCATACTGAAGATAAATCAGTTCTCATAGCTTTGATTGATTCTCTCGGGACTGCTTTCGCTTTCAGTGGTATCCTGATAACTCCAATCCCCTGCACGGTTGAGTGCTTTCCGCTCCTATTGCTCCGCAGTCAGAGTTGCTCCATAGATAGGCGAGTGCACGATACTACTGTCCGTGGTTCTCGGTTCTATGCTCCACGCGCGGAGCTGCTCCGTAGAGGGTCGAGCGGGCCATTACTGCCATCAGCTGATCGGTGCGACCTTGAAGCCGGTCGACGCACGCTCACGCACACGCCGGGGTGAGTGGCCGGGCCAGGGGGAGGGAACAGCGACGAACAAACACCCTCCTGCCCCTGCCCGCCGGCCGAACGGTAGGATAACTACCGTTCACCTGGCTTGCGGGTTTGGGCCTAACTGCTGAGATGCGGACCTGGATGCGGGCTGGCTGCTAGCCTGACTACTGAGCTGCTGGTGTGGCCGGCTGGCCTGGCTTCTGGAATAATTGCTGGTCTGCTAACGATCGGGTGTGCTCTGAACTGTTCTGTGCTCTGCTGCGGGCTTGGTTTGTTAGACCTTCGAGTTTCGTCGATCATGATTCTGAGTTCGTGTTTGTTGGTGCGGTTCTTCTCTGGGTCAAGGCTGCATCCTCTATGAGTCAGGTTGGGTAGCAGCGGTATCATGACACAGTTCATAAGTGGTATGGAGGGTATCCGCCCCGGCTATGTGGGAACGGTAAGCTTTGGCTTACTAAACGCCAACGGTGGCTTTTCGGAGCTTTCTTACAATTTAATCCAAGAGGCCTTCGCCATATACATAAGTCAACTGCTAACGACACGTCTTTGTCTGAAGTCAGCATGCAAGTCGAATTGGTTCGATAAAAACGTGGATTAGGTACTTATGGATGATTTAGTTACTCTTTCGCACATAGTGTCTCCTGGAGATCAGCTCACCGCTAAAACGCTTGACCCAGCTATAGCTATTTGACTCGCTGATTCTAAAAACTGCTGCGTGCAAGGGCGCAACTGACCTCGCTATTGGTGTGCCCAACAAGCCTGCGGTTCAAACTCCTCACACCGAATCCCGACACAGCAGCGAAGCGATGTCCCCACTGCAGTCTGCCTGCAGCTCTGACACCACCCATCTAAACTTGCGCCGGACATAACTGCCACCGCAAAGTGGCCGTAAACGGTAACCAGCATTCCCCGTGTCGCTCCCTGATGCCGGACTGGAGGTGGACTGGCTTTCTCCGACTCTGATCCGCAATCCGAGGGGCTCTGATGTTCTGTTGTGCTTGTGGGGAGGGGGGGGGGGAGGTGCTTCGCCTCTGTCCCCATCTCGCGCCGATGGGGTGAACGCTGAGCAATGAGCATTGCTCTCCTGCAACCTGCAGTCACCCCACTATTGCAGGGCTATCAATATGGCTTAGTGTCGCGGCAAAACACTGTGACCGGTTGCGCTACGAGTCGACGTTGGGGCTAAGATTGTTCCCTCTCCATTTCTCTATTGCGACTTCTCTTCTACTGCGGCCGGTCGCTCACCCTTGCTTTCCCCTGCTTTTTCTTACTTCCCACACTTACTATTTCTCTTATCCACCTTCCGTCTTCCTTCCCTTCCCAACTCTACCTCACCTGTCTCCCTTCCCCTTTGTCTCCCTTCCCCTCTTTCTCTCCATCTTCTTCCTTCCGCTTCCAGTCTCTTCCCTCCCTCCCTCCCTCCCTCCCTCCCTCCCTCCCTCCCTCCCTCCTCTCTCTCTCTCTCTCTCTCTCTCTCTCTCTCTCTCTCTCTCTCTCTCTCTCTCTCTCTCTCTCTCTCTCTCTCTCTCTCTCTCTCTCTCTCTCTCTCTCTCTCTCTTGCTCTCGCTCTCGCTCTCTGTCTCTGTCTCTGTATCTGTCTCTCTCTCTCTCTCTCTCTCTCTCTCTCTCTCTCTCTCTCTCTCTCTCTCTCTTTCTTCTCTCTGCTTCTTTCTCTCCCTCCCGCTCTCTCAGCCCTTAACCGTCAAATCACTATGTCTATCGTGAACTCCCAATTTGGGGCGCTGTTGCCCAACCAACAGGTCACCATACAACATCGGAATGTCACAATAGTTGTCCTTGTGCTCATTAGTGAAACAATCTTCATGTCGATCAGTAATTGGAGGGCTTTTTAATTAGGTAGTTACCTACAATATATCGCTCAGTTCATAAAGTGACCTTGTTGAGTGTGTGCATCCTCAGACTTTGACCTTTGCCATAATGCGTCCGTTTGATGATATTTAGGTTAGCAATTTTAACTTAGTTTCAGGTTCAGCTACATATTTACTTTCGGTGATAAAAAGGCTAAGCCTCATGAACATGATAGAGTTATGTGAAGTACTGTCTACGAAGCACGCCTAGCCGTGCTGTGATTTGTAGTCTACAGAACAGTGAACAGTCAGTGATCCTCTTTTGGCATCATCCACGATCTCTGCGCACCACTCTGATGGTGTGCCACTGCTCTCACGGCCTGCAGCCTGCCTCGCTGGCCGCTGGGTCCTCCGCTCAGCTGCCCAGCTAACCTGAGCGGCTTCACCCGACACCGGGCCCGGCTCGGCGGCAAAAAGGCTGACCCGCTTCGGCCCCGCGCGGCCCGCGCATGCAGCTGTTTTTGCCGAACGGGCGCTGCTTTTTGCTGGGCGTACCACCTCGCCCCTGGTCATGTTTTCGCCTGTCGCGCCCACTTCAATTGTTTTTCGGCGGCCGTGTCGGCTATGGCAGCTCACTCTGCCGCTCAAGTGAGCGGGGCCCGCGTGCTGAACGCAAGGACGCGCATGTGTTTAGGACTGGGTGGGCACTTGCAGGCTTGATAGGTGAAAGGAAACATGCGTGATGCAGTTTTATGAGTGGAAATTAATTACGGAGCGAGCGAAGCGAGCGTAGTCTTTCCTTAGATTAACGGAAATTTCTGAGTATGAGCGGCCGGCCGGCCGGCCGTGGTCACGCTTTTGCGAGGCTTATATCTCAGCAACCACTTGACCGATTTACATGCGGTAATTTTTGTAGGGTAGCTTCGTTCCTTCTACCAAGTATTGCACTATTCCCGATGCATGTGGGTGACCCCTTATGCACGTGCCACGTGCAAAACCAAGAGGTGTCACTTTTGTAATTGTTGCAATATCTCGGTAACTACTGGGCCGATTGCGCTGAGAGTTGGCATGTAGGTAGGCACCCACTAGGCAATGCATATCCATGTGCCAGAGTTGGGGTGCTGCTGCACGTGCGCACGTGCAGGGGTCGTTTCCAGATCTCGAGAACGGCTGGACCGATTGCGCTCAAATTTGGTACACGGTTACGGAGCAGTTAGTAGGGTGCCGTGCACAAGTCAGTTGGGACCCATTTTGCACGTGCGCACGTGCAGAGTGCCGCTTCCAGATCTGGAGAACGGCTGGGCCGATTGTGCTCAAATTTGGCACATCGCTAGAGACCGGTTAGTAAGGTGCCGTGCACAAGTCAGTTGGAGGTACCCCCTCGCAATTTCGCACGTGCAAGGCCCACCCTCTCGCTCGCTCCGTTAGTCGCCACAAAAGGCGTTATACTGGTGATATTAGCGGGAGGTGTAATATTTCCTCCAACAACTCATGCGGAAGCCCAAGGCCCTAAATACAAGGTTGCACGGACTTATTTCTACTAAACCTACCAGAATATAGTTTCACGGTTGATTATTTAAATAATTATTCAATCAAAATTTCTTTATTATTATCTCGTAATCATTTATAAGCAATTTTATAAATCAACTTTCAATTTGCTTGCCTTTTACTAGGAAAATAACTTTTCTAGTATTGGGTCAACATAGTGGTGTAGCAGTAGGAACCACATCTGGCAAAACCCCAATGCCTACATACAGCAGAAAAGCAGCCACCAGGTGTCGCCACAGTCGCCACTTGGTCGCCACACAGATGTCGCGCGCGTCGCCAATCGCCACACTACCGATTTCCATAAGGACGCATATGTACGGATATGTATAGGAAAGTCGCCCTTAAGGATTACGCTTACATCCTTTGCTTATGAGGTCGGTGGTTGGAAATTGGGAGGGACTCAGCTATTTTCGACCACTGATATGCCTTTATCACATGATGAGGAACATGCTGATAAGCGTTTTATGCGTCATAACAGCACAAAAGTATTTTTAATCATTTTTCAAAAATAGCCGTTCTGCCGTATCTTTCAGTGCAAGGTGCCGTCGGTCATCCCCGACGTGACGTCACGCAGGGAATTTGCCAGATTTTCCTACTAGACTTCGACACCCCCTGCGGAAGCCATTCCTGCCTCCTCGTTTGTCGTGTTTGCTCCTCGTTTTCCAGAGTCAAACTAACGTCATTTACATTCTGTACCCACAGGTGTGGCGGCTGCGTTTGGGGACAAGACACAGATGAGGCCCGAGATTCAGAAATTCGTATCCGAGTACTTCAAGACAGATGATACTAGTCAACCCTGCTTCAAGCTAGCACAGGTGAGCGGACTGTGAACCGGCGAGGTCAGGCCTAAGAGTTCTTTGCCGTCTACCCTGCTGGGACCTGAGGACTGGACCAGTCGATGGCCTTGCACCAATGGCGGTACATGCAGCGACTCATATATGTAGTCTAGGGTGCATCAAAATACACATCATAAGTAAATCGATTAGCTCTAGTGATAGAAATGTTCCATTACACCTAGAAACGCAGCATGTGAAGTTTTGTGACAATCGATAATTATTTAGACATCCATCCGAGCTGATGTTTCCGTCAGTAACTACCGCACGGTACGGCGCACGGGGCGTGACGTCTAAATGCGGCACCAGGTGGCGTTAGCGGTTTCTTGCTGAACATTATCATGGCAACCGATATGTTTGGTGTCAGCTGATAGTTGATTGTTCACGTAAAACGATCTGAGCGATCAGAAGGCCCAGGGCACTAAAGAGAAGGCCAACGGGGGTGCGTGTTTGTTCTGCTGAAGGGACAGAGATACCTGGTGTAAATCCATGAGTGGTTTCCGTTTATATGATTTGTATTACTCTACCGCTGCGTTATTTCTTTTTCACTTTGCTATAACGGAATTTTCATGAAACGTAATGACTGTGTCTGTGAAATGTTATGTGAAATATAATCTCGGCTTTGTCACAGCATATACGTCCAGCAAAACTTTGACGAGATCAGGGGAGAACTTTTCAGCGGGAGGGGGAACGGAGTATGGAGCCCAAAGATGCCTCGATGCTATTTTGATAAGTGAACTGAGACTTTGGTTATATCCGCCAGGGACGCAGGAACAGGGGGAGGGGCTATGGAAGTAACTCCACTTCCCCGTACCTTTGACAAAATTAACATTAGCCCCATGGCGTTGCATGACAATACCTTGAAATTCGCCCCCTCCCCTCGCCACATACAGACACTCACACACTGAAGCATTCCCGCCTCACAGTTATCCGCTACAGCCAGTAGCAGGAGTGTCGTCGACGGGAGGGCCCTGAGGGACAAGTGGAAACTGCTGATGGAGGACAAAACCATCCCGCTGTCGCAACACTCACCTGGCGACGCCGAACCGGCCTTTCTCGGAGAACTACGTGCTGAGTTCGTCTCGTGTGCCGAAGAAGTGTTGAACTTCAAGCGAGGCGACTACCGTGAGTTTGTGGACCTGTATCTGCTGTACATCGGTGAAGCGAAAACCCCAGAGCGACTTCAACGGTTGGGGGCGCTGGGCAAAGCGAGCTGGATGGCGAAGCTGCTGTACAGTCTCAAGCTGACCCTGATGGAGCAGCGCATCACAGCCATCCCTCGGGGTGCCATTACCACGACCCTGCAGACACAGAAGGCACTAGCGGCGGAATACCTTCAATTAAAGGGGGGGGGGGCACTGCCGACTTTTGGTCCCATTCTTTCCATGCAACGCCCATAGGGCTTATGTTAAAATGCCAAAATCAAAGGGGGGCACGGTGCCCCGGTGCCCTCCCCGTTCCGCCGCCTATGACAGAACTAGGTGAAGGCGTTCGCCCAGTTCGTCACGCATATATACGCGACGTAGTGGCTGACGTGCGACAGACTAGTGGACGCCGCCTGGAACGACCTGCAGCTCCATCGCCACCTGCAAGCGTATAAGTCAGTCGACAAGGGCATCACAGTCAGCTATCAAGGCATTGGGAAGACACCTCTGGTACTTGACTGGTGATATGCTGCCTCTAGCACTCTTCAGTGATAAGGTTCCGGCCGCCGAACGACGCGCACTCGCAGACGCCATCATGGAGCACAGGCCAGCTGACCTCCCAGTGCGAGTCCCAAGAGAGCGATTCGGCGCTGACTTTGGCAAGCGAAAGTTCCCAACCCTCTCACCGTCCAGCTGGCTGGCAGACCTCGCCAACGCAGACTGCTGGTTCGGCATACAGCATCTGCACATCGACCCAGCGTTCCTCGCCCTCAGCACTGAGGACTGGGTCACCAACGCAGCGTTTCAGGCGGGATTGGCAAACGTGTAGGCCATCAACACCGTCAACGACTGTGCCGAACGGGGTGCTAAACTGGCATCCGACTTCGTGGGAGCTGCAATGAGCGAGCAGCACCTGCAGAATGTGCTGCAGGCTGTGGAGCATGGCCGTCCTCTGCAGCCAAATATTCGTCGCTCGAAGCGCAAGATGGCAGAAGCTACGAACTAAGGCAGCGGCCAGCGTGGCGCAGATGTAATGGCTGACAGCCGCAGACCAGGCAATGGGCTTCTCCCCAGCAGCTTGCTCCGCTTGTTACAGTGTCACACTCCAACGCCAGTGCAGATCTGAACGAACGCGGATACGCTGTTATATGTGATAATAACTGATCTCAAACTGATGTTTGGAATGCATTATGTTCGAAATATATGTTTTTGTGCATGTTAGTTCTCGCCATGGATGTCGAAAGTAAGCAGATTTTTTACAACCGTTTTTCGCTATTTCGGACTCAATGAATGCAAAAAAAGACATTTTCTTGAGATTTGTCGGGGTCGGATGGACGTCTAAATATTTATCTAATTTCGTGAAACTTCGTAGAATCTTATTTTTTGTGCATTGGAACAAAATGGTAACTAGAGCTAATCGATATTTTGATTTTTAATTTCTGCCTTATAATTTGATGCACCCTGATATGTACGCAGTTGATTTGTGTGAGCCGGATCGGGTAATTTATACAGGAGATTCTGCGTTTCATTTTATCATCATATTATCCCCGTGAGCTTGGTCGGTAATTTAATTTGTACAGTATGATGCTGTATTTTACTGATTATCGCTATATCATTTCTGTACAGGATCACTGTATCGCACTATCGCTCACTGTAGATTTCCTCTATTTGTCCCAATTACTAGACATGTGACTCATGTATATCACTGTATGCTCTACCTGTGTTCTGACTCCCTGCTTGCATCTTCTCTGCCAGGTTCCAAGCACTGCCCAGCTGGTCTATGCCGAGGATAAGACCCGAGGCGTGCGCTCACGATTCCCCGTTGTACGCATGCGCAATGTATACGTTCTTCCCGGTGTGCCAAACCTACTGGAGAAGGCCTTCCTCTTACTAGCAAAGGTGAGTGAGAGGATAGGATGTTCATCTATTAGCCTAGCTCCTGCTGATAATATCTATGATATATGGAACATTATCATCCTACTGACTGCTATCCAACCCATCACTTGTCCCGAATTCATTATTTGAATTCCTGGAGCTGCTTTTGGAGATCCTGATCATGCATGTACAGTGTACACCCCTTACCCTTTCATTCGGCAGCTGGCCGGAGTTCTTCCTCGTTGCGGTTTTGGGGTATTGGTTGCTGAGCTGTTATGTAGCGCCACCTGCGATGATTTTCCCTTTGTAAGTTCTCGTTTTCGCTGCCTCGACAGATGGCGTTAGCTTGGGCCTCTCGGCTCCCATCCGCCTACTGACCGTGCGTCGTTTAGGTAGTCGGCTTATGAGCATCAGGCATTAACGTGTTGGTCGAATGAACGAATCAGGCTGGCTTTTGTTGCAAAGCGCGTTTTATCTCAAGTGTCTTATTATATGGAGTGTGTCATCTCCGGGGTGACCGTTAGAGCGGCGGGGCGGACTGTCCAAATGGGACACTCCCCTTCCACCGAGACGGTCTCGGCCACTGCGGCACACCGTGGCTAGTCTGTCTGTGCAGTTCTCAATGTCTCCAGCTGCACCCTATCCTATCTGTCGATAGCCCAGCAATGGTCCATCATCATCGTTCGTACTAGTTATTATTCTATCATACTATCATACGGTGAACGAACAGTCGTTCAGAATGCCTAACCCCATCTCGCCTGCCGCCCCCTGGCGCTGTCTCTATCAGCTGTGCCGTCCCCCAGTCTCCAGGCTGCCTACTGGGGTGAGCGGAGGATGATCTATGGGGTGGACTGTTCCCGGTAACTGCAGATCATCCAGTGGGGCCGACGTTCTTGTTAGGCCGATGTTGTGTCTGGATGCAGTACTGAGTATATCTGAGTTGTATGGCGAGCCTGAACGGTTCGTGGAACCGGTGCCGGTGGTGACTGTACGGTTCGCTGGGTACGTTTACTGGCGACAAAAACAAGCCATGGTGGTCGATGTGGCGTCCCTGTGGACCTGTCGTTGTGGGTATGGCGACCCTGAATGTCCGCTATTGTCGGTTGATTGGCCCTGCCAGTTAGCTATTATAAACCTGGGGCCGTGGAAGTCCGTCATGCTTACGGCAACCCTGGTGGACCGATATTCCCACGACCTAGCCTGTGCATGTAGTAAGTCACGACCGACCTAGGTATGACCTGGTATGACCTAGCCATAACCTAACCTAGACCTAGTCTCCCGACAATTCGTGCAAGGTGAACATGAGCGACGATTAAATGCCAGGCAGAGTTATTTTTCCATGTCTGGCTATCTCAGCCGTGTCGGGGCCAGTGGATTTCGGGGATGCCGCGACGTTTAGGAGAAGACCTAGAGACTTCATCGTTGTCCTGTCCAGTGTAGATGCACGTATTATTGGCATGCTGGCATGCATCGATGGATGTGCATATTGGATGCATATTGCATATTGCACATCGCGCATGTATTATGTAGGCCGTGCCTCGTTACCTACTATTCGATATTGGTATGCTAATTCCCATGGCCATTTGGATTGTCATGCTACCTCGGAATTGTACTGTTTCCGTAGAGGCTCTCTGCTAGCTGTTTGTGGCTTTTCAAGAAATTAGACGGTTAAGGATGGACCGCTTTTCGTAATGAGGCCGGCATTCAGTGATTGATGAGCTAGGCAAGCGGTGCCTGCTTTCTTCGTTACTCAGATACTTCTTTCACGCAAGATATCTATGGTCACGCTACCTTTTCGTAATATTGCTGCAATTGCAGCAATATCATTATTGTTATCAACCATGGAATAAAAGGTTGAAATTTCCCCCAGGCCTTGATCCTGCATCGTTCTAGCATGGGATCATTGAACTCCAGTGTATTTTCTCGTTCTTAGTTGAAGCAGGTCAGAACAGCTGACACAGCCGGAACCGGAAAGTCGTGTTATCCGGAGAGTTTGGCTGGATGCACGGAGACTGGGCTTCACGCTGGAAAGACCGGTCCCTTTATCCATCGCCATTGCTGATCTCTATTCGTTTACTGAGTGGTCTGAACCCTAGACGAACTAATGCAGTGCGACGCTGCAACTATCCTTGCAAAGCATTATGTACAGCCATAGCTATGGCTCAATTTCTAAAGAAATCGTTGACCGAATGCCTGTTTCGTGTCTGGAACTCCGCTATACACGTGTTTTACCAGCAGCGTTGCGTCATTTTGTAGGCGTAATCTGCTTCACACGTCATCGGGCCAGGCGGGCTGTTGCATCATTGCCGCCTCTGCCCGGCCCCCACTGAACCCCCTCGTGTCTCGGTCGGTCGAGCGACTTTCACGAGCGACGCTGCGCTGTAACGGTAACGATTTTGTCCTGATGACGTCATCCGGTACATACAGGACTGTTTGTGACGTCATGGTGGGTGACCGGGGTCACGGAAAAGGTCAGCGACACGACGTGCGAGGGGTTAGGGGGTACTGATGGACGCAACGGTTGCCACGGGAACGGAATGGGCGTGGGTTGTATGTGGACCCAATGTTGATTGATAAGGCATGTCTGTCGTTCAGTTGAGGCAGAATCGACATCAGACTGGTGAGTTGAGGCAGACGGTCGGTTTGTTTGTGAGGCGCTTCTGAGATAAGCCTGAGTTGGCGTTGAATTGTCGAAGAACATTCATTGAAATAGCGTTGAGTGTTCAGTATGCCAGCCTTGAATGTCTTGAGCGTCGAACTTTTATATCGATTCTCGGTATGTCGCATCTCTCACCAAGCGCTGACTCGCGAGTCCAAATTGGCTCGTTTCCGAACTCCCCACTGAGTCGCCCGTGAGTCATCAGTTGATGAGTCTGTCGCTACTCAAACCATCTCCTTTCCCCTTCTCCCCTGTCCCACCGTGTTGTGTTCCATTCCATGCGTCCTCCCACCGCCATGTGGGCGCAGTGAACCGTATCGGCGAGCGCTACGTCAGCTGACGTGGCCCTCCGCCGCTGCCGCCGCCGCCGCCGCCGCCGCCGGGTGGCCAGACGTCGTCTGTCGGCTAGTAGAGCGGCCAGTGGTGACGAGCCGGCCGACCAACGAGGTGTGGGGTGGAGCAGCGGTGTTCGTTTCGGGACTGAGTAGTGAGTCAGGCGGCTGCGACAGGCGGTGAGTGAGTTTCCGTGGACTGTGGAGGTAAGGCGGGGTCTGTCGATAAGTGAGTGTCCTGTGTGTCCTGTGTGTCCTGAGTGTCCTGTGTGTCCTGTTTGGAGAGGGTCCACGTTGAAGGTCACCAGGCACGTGTCTAGATGGACCGTCGAGGCTGCCCTTTGTCCAGCCGGCAGGGGGTGCGGCTGTTCTGACGGGCCGCCGGCCATGAGATGTCATCGCGGAGGCCTGACACTTCTCCAGGATCTGACATAGAGGCATCCTGTCACTCTAAAGACATGACAGTGTCACCGCCGAGTCATGATATCGTGTGGGGCCTGACACACCTCCGAGACTTGACACAATGACTCAGCACCACCGCTAACGGTTTTCAGAGCTGCGGGCCACAAATCCTAACTGTAACGTGTTTTCTGTCCGACAGGAGTACTTTGTGAATCCGGACTCGCAGTTTTGCTGTGACGAGGTGTACCTGTGGCTGGACGAGGTCTCTGCGGCCACTGCGCTAAACCAGACTGTGGCAGAGTGCCCCAGTGTGACGTTCGGCTCGTACCCGGTGCTGTATCACAGGTGAGAACACTGGTATCTGTAATTAGTTTTGTGGATATTATAGATAGTCGCGATTCTACCACCGAATGCCGACACATGTGTGCTCATCTTCCTCTAGATATTATAAAGTCAATGCCGTCGATCTGAGTCATGACGGAATGCAACTTTTGTTGCATCCGTCTTTGATCTCTTCCTAAGACGGTGATACCAAATTTCCGTCGCCGATTTCGGTGTCTGTGGCGCCATTATTGTCTGCGGTGTCTTTGCCGTTTTTTTACCACAGTGATTCGATTTTACTTGCCGGACTAGTGTCCATTTTTCTTTAGCCATTAAGCAGACATTATGTGCTTGATAGGCGAGCATTGGTGATGCTGTTTGTCTGCCGTAGACCACAATAAAGATACCGTTAAAACCATTTTCCTGTTGCTCTGTGTCACATTTCCTTGAAGCCAGGTTTATCGATAAAATCAAGTGGCCTGTTTAGGCACATAAAGTAATATAACAAAGTAAGGTAACTTCATAAGGCATTATCGGGCTAGTTACTTCTAGCTACACAGCTCATAATAGGATACTGGATCTGAGATAGTCGGATTCTATTGTAATAAAACGGTTGCCATCATGTGCTGATGTTCGACTGCGCTCCATCTTCCACCTGCTCTACCCGTTCCACCGCCTTACCCCACCCCACCCCTCCCTGACAGTCAGCTGACCCCCCCCCCCCCACCCTCCCTTCCCCGCAGTTACTACAAGACTCGCATTACTCTCGAGGCGACCGACATGGCGGCCGTACAGGCGGCCCGCGCGCGGCTGACCGAGGCGCTGCCTAGCGGCACTTTGGTGAACTACACACCTGACCCCGTCACGGGTGCGGCCAGACGACTGGAGGGCATGACCCAGCGGGAAGAGCATGTAAAGGAGGCGGTGGATATAGTCAACCAGTGCTACGACAAGTATAGGTACGGAGGAGGGGGTCGGGTCGGATGGGAAGAGGCGTGGAGTGGGAGGAAGCATGGGGCTGGTTCTGGGGACGTGGGGAGGGGTGGTTGAGTTAAATGTACGGCGAGGGAGCAGCGTTGAGGGATGGGGAAGCCTGGTGGCGTGGGTGGAACGGTGGTCTTGGAAAGTAGGTCTGAGGAGGGGATTATCTGGCCACTAACCTCAACACAGTGCGATTGTAAGGCTTTGCTCCTGTGTAGGGAAGGGGTAGAGATAGTAGGGAGGGTCTGTATACTGTTGGTTGATGCACCTGTTACTGCCGTTAATGATTGTTCGATCGACCGGCTCGGCCGTGTGCGTGCTTCGTTGGGGACCAATTAATTTGGGGCCTACCGTAGCTGCGCAGTGTGGACATCATTAGCTGAGTTGCAGAGCGGTCTGAGCTGTAGGACTGGTCCATGCGTGTGCTATGGCTGAGGTGAAGCTCCCATCAGCCTTACATCGCACTATGGGTCCGATGCACGATTTAGCACGCCAAAAATGATTTAGGTGACTTTCTCAAAATGGCTTAAAATGTGACGCAAATAACGTAAAAATGTCCATATTTTGCGAACACAGCAGTAACTTTTGCCAAAAATGTCACATGTACCCAATATTTCATCGCAAACTGACACATATCATGGAGCGCCATTGCCTTGTCCACGTCCGAGAGAAAAGGGACGCTGGAATTATCCGAGTATAGGCGCTTCTAAAAAATAGTTAAACGGAAATATTTGGTCAAAACTACAGGTTGAGCCATAAACATTTACCCATCGAAAATTTAACTTTGTTTCAAGGCGCGCTGACATAGCTATGTCATCTTTTACATACATATAACAACGTCATCTCCTAACTAATAAATGTAGTCTTTTCTGTATGCTTGCATTCTTCTTATGTTACGCGCCCGAGACGCAAGAGCACTATGGCACGCGGCCGCCGCACCGTCTTTTCACTTATTTTCTTCGATCACCCATGCTATAACAATGCTGCGCCGTATGTCATTTGCGGTGTTTCAGGGACTCGGTAGAGTCGGGTTTTCAGGATATTTCAGTTTGCGAGGCCCGTGGGGCTGAAGTCGGGGATAAATTGTGCCCAGCATTCTTTAGACCAAGGAGTGTTCAGCAGCCAACACCCAGTGGTGATTCCTGAATTTCAGGAGCGGCGGATGTGCGTTAAGACGACCTCGCATTTCAGGAGCGTAGCAGAGACAGTGGACGAGCATATACAAAATGAGCTACACTGTCAGGATCGGAAACAAATTTGCTACATATATGCAAAAGATGGCATACCTACGCCAACCCGTTTGGAAATAAAGTGAATTTATCGATGGGTAAATCTTTATGGCTCACCCTGTAATAATTTGAAGCTTGGGCAATGTGATGAATGCAAAAAAGTCAGCTGTGTCATTGCTTTTTTATTGTCACAGCTAATTTAAACATCCATGTCACAGATGTGTGTGCAATGCTTCAAGAGACTTACAAATACAGAGCAATACTAAATGCCCCTCAATGCCCCCCGGTATTTTTGGTATAACCTTGCTCCCCAATACTTGCCTGACCAGAAACAAGGTCATTTAGCTGCGTCCACCTGCGACGAAGCAAGTTATGAAGCTTTTTCCAATGATGTCACTGCGCTTAGCTACGGCTGTGACATACCGGCGAGCGCTGCGGCAGGGTCACAAAGGCAAAAAGACCAGGGTATTGGTGGATACGACTTATGTATGACAGAAACTCATACCTGATGGCTTTGCAAAAAAATGGCAGTTCTTTCGGGTTAGCGGTCCGAATTCCGGACATTCCGGCACTAGTCTGGCGACCTGGCCCTCAGGCGGTTTGACCGCGTGCCCGGCCCACTGTACCCACGTGGCCGGGGTAGTGAGCTTGACGATTGTAGCGAGCGCACGTATATTCTTGTCGTTCCATCACTAGCAAAACAGGCAGATAAGCAATGTGTATTGCTTACAAAGCCATTCTTGACATCGTCTTGACCAGTCCAGATGGTGTAGGGCCGGTTCAAGTATAGAGGATTTTTCAGCTAGCATTGCTCGTATTTTGAATGTTCAATTGACGACTGATGACATTCGAGCACTGGGAAAGCTGCTTAACAAGTTAAAGGAAAAATGGGTAGCCGCTCATCGCAATGAAGATTGGACTCAGCTGACATTTTGTCTGTCAGAGGCCAGAGCCTGCAACCTGAAAACGGTTGACATAAAAACATCCAGCACTACTATATAGGTACACACGTCACATATCACATGTCACACGGTACCTACATGTTTAGAAATCACGCAAAATCCATTTCGGATGTTCTGGCTTTCATCTCTGGTGTAAAAGCAGCCATTAAATGGCAGTTATCATTTTTGGCGTGCTAATTCCTGCATCGGACCCATAGTGCATCGGTTAGAACCATAACATAGGCGAGGGCTTGCAACGACGGGTGCCGTGACGTTCAGCTGAATTGTGACACTCAGGATGACAATTTTCGAGTCAACGTCCCTTCCGTCCCTATTTTATTTCTCATTCACCCTCTCTTGTTCTGTCAAATCGGACTTGCCCCTGCTGTCTACTTCTTGAATATCTCGATTTTCTGTATTATCCCAATGCCATGACATCCCTGCCGTGAGGCTCTCCCCTCTAAATCTCTCACTCGGACTGAAGTGACCACCATCGGCTTACCTCTTCTCCCTAACTCTATCCCTCCCTTCCTCTGCTCTGCAGCCCGGAGGAGGTCTGCGTGTGTTTCAACGGTGGCAAGGACTGTACTGCGGTGCTTCACCTGGCCCATACGATACAGACAGGCCGCCACCCGGGCAGTCGACTGCGCGCCGTCTACATACGAGAGAGCAAACCGTTCCCGGCCATGGAAACGTTTGTCGAGGAGACTCGGGTCAGGTGAGAGAGAGGGGGGAGAGAGAGAGAGAGAGAGAGAGAGAGAGAGAGAGAGAGAGAGAGGGGGGGTGGGAGAGATGAAAGGAAAGGGGAGAAAGGAGGGGCACTGTGGAGGAAGAGGGGGTTTATAGGGAGACTGTTTACGAAGGGATGCGGGTTAGGGATGGAGGGAAGTAGATAGCCCCGATGATCTGTTTTATCCTGTCCAGTAACGCCATGATACCTGGTTGTCGGTGGGCGTGGGAGCTGGACCCGCGTCTGTGGTGGAAACTGCGCACTGAATGCAGCATCGATCGTCCGCAAATAGTCTGAACCTCCAACTACTGCGCGGTGCCTCACCTCTGCTGCCGCCGCCTACTCCGCGCTTCATGGCATATTGCATCAGCTGAACTCCGCTGCCGTTTCGGAGTCTACCCCATCCTCTGTCTTTCACCCACGCCTCTGCCACTGTGCTCCCTCTTGTCTAACCTATACCTGTCTGATGTCCAACCTATACGTCCTAATCTATGCTATGTCAGACACCTGTCGTCTACCGCAAGTATATCTGTGTCTTCAGATAGGAGCTGGATTTTCGTATAACGTCACCCTGACATTCCCAGGTACGACCTGGACCTTTACATCATCGGCGGACCGATGAAGGCGGGGCTGCACGCTATGAAAGAGCACTGGCCCGAGGTCAAGGCCTGCATCATGGGCACCCGACAGGGAGACCCTTATGCCGGTGAGATATGGGGGAGTGTGTGTGTGTGTGTGTGTGGGGCAGACGTGTGTAGTAGAATAAAGGGAGAGCGGGGATATTCTTGGAGAGGAGAAAACTGTTTTCCACATCTTGTATGAGTAAAATATGGGACTAGGGAATTGCTAGACACCGTGGTCGTAAAATAATAAAGGTCGACCGGCCGGTGTATGCATGACCAAGTTGCTAACAGCTAATGACTTGTTTGGCTGGTAATGCTTGTCAGTTGGTCAGGGTGGTGGTCGTGCTGTGCTCCAGGCTGCAGAGCTGCCCATCCTGATCTGACCTTACCGTGCTGTTTGGTATTGCAGCGCTGACAGCTTTTGACCCGTGACTTAATTTGCTGTTTCCGCTGTTTCAGAGCTAATGAGGCCGTTCCAGCCGACCGACTCGGACTGGCCGCAGCTGATGCGTGTGAACCCGATCCTGGCCTGGGACTACCACCAGCTGTGGCTGTTTGTGCGCGCGCTCACACTCTCCTACTGCAGCCTATACGATAAGGGGTGAGTGATTAGGGAAGGGGCGGGCGCTCACACTCTCCTACTGCAGCCTATACGATAAGGGGTGAGTGTTAGAGGAAGGGGCGGGCGCTCACACTCTCCTACTGCAGCCTATACGATAAGGGGTGAGTGAGTGGGATGGGTTGGGCGGGTCCTTACACACTGTACTTCTTCACTGTAGATACCCACTGAAGGCTCAAGGGTTGCGTGAGAGAGGATGGGCAGATCTTCACACTCCCTTGATGTAGCCTCTACGACAAGGGATGAGTGAGAGGGGGACGGGTCCTGGCACGTCTCTGAAAGGATTACGTGATGACAACCGTTGCTGTGCGGGGATGGGTAATGAGGGTGGCGCCGGTGCAAAATACCTAGCTGCTGTACGGACCATAAATCAGTTAATTGCTCCAAGGTGTTTTGATCCGAGTCGATAAACCCCTTTCAAGTTAGCCTTTCTGTCATGTAATCTGTATGTTTTGCAACCTGCACCGTTCTGCACCTTAGTCAATACCGTGCCGTGACGGTCCCACCCTCCTCTCCCCAGATACACATCGCTAGGATCTGTGGACAACACACTACCAAACCCTGCGCTACAGGAAACCATCGGCGACGGTACTGTCACCTACCGGCCCGCCTACGAACTAGAGGATGTCACCCGTGAGAGGGATGGCAGGATAGGGCGCAGGCGCAGAGGCTCGTGATTAGTGTGACTGTACCGCTTGATTGTAGGGAACAGTTTGGGATTTAGGCGTGGGCTGTTTATTGTGTAAATGTGACAGTTTTTAGGTTGAATGCGTTTTTTTTTTTAATAACGCAGCAGGCAGACAGTGTGTAGCAGTATTTCAGAGTTGTGATCACAGTCTTCATTCGAACCGAGTGTTGGTGGTTTGGATCGCATCGATCATATTGAGACATACTCCGGGAAAGAAATGCTCACAATAGAACATGTGTCATATTTTTACCACGTCAGTGCTGCTACTCTTATGACAATGGAGTTTTTAGTCGGATACTTATGTGTGATATACTTGTCGGCGAGTATGTGTATGGACGAATGAATGTAACAAGCTTGTAGCTGTCCTCATGACATAGATATACCTCATGCGTGTGACGTTAGGCATGTGGCGTGCGGAGATGAACAAAGGTGTTGGATGTGCTGTCATAATCACGAATCATATTGCCACTAGTTTGCTGTCAGTGCGCCATTTGGCGAAATACAAGCGAACATTATGTAGTATTCAATGAACTTGTCAGTGACCGGTCCGTGTAGAACTTCCCAGCGAGTGACCAGCTGGTTTGTAGGGTCGTAGGAGGAAATTGAGTGTGAACTCTACGAAACTAGCTCTATATTATATAACTTTATATAACTTAATAGTTGGTATATAATAGTCGGTATCCACAATCAACCATGGAGCATTGTATCGAGCATGCCCTAGCCTTGATGGCAACGCCGCACAACACGTTGAAGCATCCAGGTGCATACTGCATATGCTCCTCAAACCAAGCCCCTTCAACTGCCGGAAAACGCGGATTGGTTTTACATTTTATTACACCAGAACAAAGCACGATGCGCCCATAGTTCAGATCATCTCGATATCAATTGTCCGAAAGTTAATCACCTCAGTATTTTTTTTTTGTTCCTGCTGCTTCAAATAAACGAAAAACGTATTTTGCCACATAGATTGCACATCAAACAGTGAGCATTTATGCCGATACACTCAAATGATTTGTCATTAGAGATATTTACACTGTCCGCGAAACGTCAACAAAAAGCGTCCATATCACACTGATAAACGTTCTTCCTTTGTTCGTAGGTAACTTAACCGTCCTCTCTAGAACACAATATGGTTTCACATCATCGGCAGGCCAGTAATTTCAAACGTTTTCCCAAACCGGCAAACATGATAATGTATGTTGTCACGTGCCAGTTTAACTGCACAAATAACAAATCGCATGTGTTTTCAGGATCTTGGTCGTTTAGGCAGGGATCGAGCAAAATGGTCCGTATGGCCAGTCTTTTATGGCGCCCCCTGACGCCCACTCGCTCGCTAAATGGAAGCCAGCAACAAGGCGTCTCCCTTGTAGCGAAGTACCTTACCAGTTACCACTGCCTCTCGGCACTGAAAAACGAGTATTTGCCAGAGCACACCGGCCCGCAATGGCATCTGAAGTATCCTTACAAAAGTTACACTTAGCTGCCACCTCAATGAAAAACCACTTACACAAGCACACACAAAATGAAAGTGCGCTTCCCATTCACACCAGCTACAATTACATCTTAAGTCACTCCGATACACAAATAAAAGCGCTAGGTCACTGAGCAACTAAATAAAGCTCTAGGTTATTTTCGATATCACTAAGCGAACTACACTACATAGACACTGACATGGTTGGTGAGGCAGTCTGTTTGCTACCTGTGCCCCATCGAACCACAGACCATCACACCCTTCTCCCTTCGCGGAGGCGCGTCCGTCTCCGAGACACACTCGTCTCCTCAGATCGTGTTCTGCCCAGCTGTCAGAGGGGTAACAGCGGCTCCATCTTCGTCACCGCCCACTATTGCACATCGTTTCAACGCCCAGCAATCTCGAGGGCTGTCTTTGGACTGAGCTTCAACGCTCGATTCCGGCTGCTGGTCGACAAATGATGATAGTCGACTTCTGGTCCGTGATACAGTCGATATCTATAACTTCGAGTAAATGTCTTCCAAACACTCCGCCAGTCCGGTTAGAACGTCCGACCACAGGGGTCGAAATAATTAGAGTGACTTCCCTCCATCCGCCACCGAATAATAAGCATCCGGACACTTACCTTTCCTCTCCAGACCAAACCTCCAGAGGTCGTAGCGACACAGGCCGAACCTCACTGCATGACATCACAAGGTCTGTCGTATGACGTCATATTTCTGTATGACGTATTTCACCTAGGTATGCCATCACTTTGTGACCCGGTTAGAGCCTGAACGGGTCGCGCGCGTTCAGGTGTTTGAGTCGCAGGTAGACATCGGTTCCAATGCCCTGCATGGCCTGCACCTCCAGACTGCCGCCGAGATAGGTGGCATAGGCGCGAGAGGTCGGTAGGCCGAACCCGAACCTGGCGGAGGCGAGGTCAGAGGTCAGGTCACAGAACAGCAGGTCACAACAGGTCAGAGGTCACAACATAAGGTCAGAGATCACAGATCACAGGTCAGGTCACAGAATACAGGTCAGAAGTCACAGAACACAGGTCAGAGGTCACAACATAAGGTCAGAGATCACATAACACAGGTCAGAGGTCAGAGGTCACAGATCACAGGTCAGGTCACAGAATAAAGGTCAAAGGTCACAGAACACAGGTCAGAGGTCACAAAACACAGGTCAGAGGTCACAGAACGCAGGCTAGAGGTCACAACACAGGTCAGGTCACAAAACACAGGTCAGATATCACAAAACACAGGTCAGGTCACAAAATACAGGTCAGATGTCACAGAACACAGGTCAAAGGTCACAGAACACAGGTCAGAGGTCGTAAAACACAGGTCAAGTAACACAAGCCAAGGAATCGCAATAGTCATGGTTCGTGAGTCATGAGAATGAGTTAGGAGGCACGATTTCTAGATCAACGATCAGATCACGGATCAGGAATTGAAGTCACGGATCGCAGGATATAGGCCTATGGGGCGCGTGCGGCGTAGCCGGGTCACACACTTCTTGTGCCTCTCTTTTAAGGACAGGGGACCACGGCCAGCGATTTTGTGTGGTACGTTAAGGGTCACACACGCCTACTCTCCTGTGAAGACAAAAAATTCAGGCATGATCACAAGTTCTTAAAAGGGTACTCATTTCCGCAACTTAAAACGCATAGATGAACCAAGCTATAGCGAGGACAGCCAAGAGAAAAATACCATTGAGTGAAACTATTCATCAATGACTCCCACAGCATCTTCTCAGAGCAAAGGCTTATTCAATGGATAAAAATCTGGCTGCACTGAATCCGAATGGTGCCAGGGTCATATGCGGTAAGAGGGAGAAGGAGCCAGGCCACGGCGTCCCGATTAGTGAGTCAGTGTGGGAATGGGATGGGGACAGGGTCGGGGACTGGGTGGGGTAGACATGAAAACACCCCACCCCTCACCCACTCCACCCTCCACGGCCCCAACACTCAACAGTGACTCACAAATGTCGGGATCGGGCGGGGCTGCGGCGGGACCCATTTACTCGCTTCCCTGCACAATCTTATCGCTGTGTCGTACCGCCAAGCCAACCCTATCTCCCCCCCCCCCCCACTGCCGGATCCCATTAAAGGCTTATCAACACGATACCAACTTGATTTGCACTTGCACGACTGAGGCAACATCACTATTCACAGCTAACATCACTCGCATCAGGTTACAGATGTCTGGTCACTATATGACCAGACGTCTGACCAGACACTATGTGACCTGACACCTGTAATAACATCACAAGGATAGGGGAGAGTGGGGTAATTTGGCCGGTGGTGTAAATTGGCCGCCCCTACCTGTACGAAAGCTGATAAAAGTGAATGAAATAACTTAAGTCTCTATTCATTTGTCATCGGCAGAACTCAGGGCCTATTTTAAGACAATTGGACTGGGGTGGCCAGGCAGTGGTGGCGCCCCTGTCTCTTGTGTTGGCGCCCCCCCCCCCCCCACCGAAATACTGCTGTGCGCAGCATTTCGATGGGGGGGGGGGGCGTCGCAATCGAGTCTCAGAATCTTTTCTTTGTGACGGTAGTACGTAAGGACTAACGTTTCGGGAAAGTGTCTGGAGGCCTTTGTTGGCATAGTTTTTTTTTCTAACATAGCCCTTTCGGGCGATGCATGGAAAGAATTAAGCCAAAAGTCGGCTGTGCATGGTGCAACCCCCTTTCGTCAGAGAACTTTTACTGCTTATGCCGATGGCCCTCAAATCCCCCCCCCCCCGATCCGTCCATGATAAACACCTTCCCATACCAAGCAGCCGGCGTCACTCGAGGTCACTTTATCTTGAAATTTCGATATCGATGACCTAAGGTCAGGTCAATTTTTCGACCTCTCCATTAGGTATAAGTCAATGGGAGAAAATTGAAAAGAGCCTCTTTTAGACGAACGCCATTCTAAACATTTTCAAACACTAATTACGAGTTAACATGACACGCTGAACCAGAAAATGGCACCCGTGACCCCTCGTTATGCCCCCGAGGTCATATCAGGTCACGAATGGTATCTAACAGTTTTTCGCTAATAACTTCTGATAGAGGCAAGCTAGAGCGATGAAAACGCCTTAGATGTGTTCGGCTCGACGTTGCGGATCGACTGATATGCAGCACGACCTTTTCCGGTCAGGTCATTACCTTGACCTGTAGTCAAATTTTCAAGTTGACCTTTCAAGGTCAAATTATAGTTCATTCGACGCGTCTAGACGAGAGGAACACCATGCTGGCAAAAATACTGTCGTGTCTCTCTTGAGTCAAAAGTTATTGAAGAAAACGAAGTTTTTGCACTCTGGAGGCTAAACCGTTGACCTGAGGTCAAACCTGAGAACATTATTCAGAAAGCCCTGTAAAAGAGCTATCGATTGCGCTTTTCCGCGGCGCTGTAGCTCTATTGGTTCCCGAGTTGTCCGTCGGCAGTTTCGAAAAATGTTGAAATAACAAAATTTGACCTTTGATGACCTTTGGTGACCTGACCTTTGACCTGACCTAAAAAAATAACAAGTGGGTATTTTCGTCATGGTTTTTGACGTCCTTTCGGATGCCGCTTACCGCGTGTCGCTACTTGGCCCAGGAGCCGACTTAGAAGGGGGGTGTTCAAATCCCCGCCCCCCCCCCCCAGCAGGGCGTGGAAATCCAGGACCCCCAGTGGGGCGCGGGTTAAACCGCCGCCCGCCAGATTTTTCTCTTGGAAATACCCTCGTCAGAAGCAATGCGTGCACGTGCGTTTGAAAATCCATTGTTGATCACACGGCCTGTCTCATAGCCACATGACAAATTTAATTTTGCGGCCGATACTGATAGGGCTCCCAAAGGTGCAGTTGGCGCCCCAGTAGTGGTGTGGCGCCCCAATCGTGTCTGGGCGCCCGAATGTTGATAGGGCTCTTCAGTCGTGGTAGGCGCCCAAGTGCTGGTAGGGCGCCCCATTGCCGGTAGTGTGTCCCAATCGAATTAGAGAGTCCCATAGCTCAGTTGGTAGAGCACCGGACTCCCGGTAGTGAGAGCCCGGGTTCGAGTCGCTCCGGTGCTCGATATTTGAGACTCCTGACGGGGATGGTCTGCGGTTGGTGGGAGCAGCCGCAGCCAGTTGAAGTCAGTTGAGTGGGACAGGTTGTGTCCGGCTTTGAAGGGCACGTTAAACTTAGGCATCTAAATTATTCCGTTACCCGGAATTGCGCGATCAGACGGTAGGGGTCGGGGTCTACGCAACAAGCTCTGCTTAGCGTGGGCTCCGGCTCTGTCAATCCGTCCATTCAAACATTCAAGCTAAATTTATAAAAAAAGTAGGGCGCCACATTTGCGGCAGGGCGCCCCCAGTAGTGAGAGGGCATCCCATTGGTGGTGGTGGCGCCTCAGTGAGCCCTTTTCCCCCTGTCAAGCTGAGTTCGCCCCAAGAATGTGTCGCCTCCGTGATTGTCGGCAGCCAATATCTGTGGGCAGACTTTTGGGCTGTTTTGCACTGGGGTGGCAAAGCAAGACGACTGGGGTGGAAAACCGCACCACTGGGGTGGGTTTTGCCACCCCAGTTAACATGTTAAAATAGGCCCTGGCAGAACTAACTCGAGAACAAATGTCAAAACTTTCCCCCTCTTAGTTTTATTCAAAATTAATAAAAGGTGAATTACGTTAGAAAATGGTAACTTTTACTTCCGTTTAAAAATTTGTATAACATGTAGTATTTGGGCTGTAAACGAATTCGAACATTATAGCGCCATTTTTGAGGGTGTTCAGCGGTTCCAAGAGCAATTTCATCTAGTTCTGTACAGCCATGACGACTTTATAGACAAAAATTTTCAGAATGGCAATGTGGGGTTATTTGGCCGGGGCTAGGGGGGCAACTTGGCCGGTGCGCTCAGTCACTATGCTGGGTCGGCCGAGTTGTCATGGTCAATTATACCATAAAGGACATAATTCATGACCAACTTTGACTACCTTGATGCCATATTTCCTATTGGACAGCTGTAAGGGCATGTGACGTCATCAAAGGTCACCTAACGCTTTTTTACTAATAAATACTTACAGAAAAAAGATACAGCCGTGCAAATGGTCTCATTGTGTTCAGCTCGTCAAGGCGCATCGAATGATATACATGATGACCTTGAACTCACGTAACCTTGAGGTCAAGCGACCTGAGGTAACGTGACCTGAAGCCAACCTTGATCTTGACCTTGACCTTGACCTCTCGAGGTCAACACATACATGTTTCGATGCGGAATGAGAGAATTACGATGGTACTTTTAGTTTTGGCCTAACTTGATTATTTCAAAAGCTTTTCGTAAAAAAACTGTCATCGCATCTAGAGCCGCTATTTTGACTATTTTCGACCCCTGTGACGGCTGAGTCAACCTCCAAAATGCTTCAAATGCGTCGTAGGACAAGCGTCATTGCTGAATGTGAAGCTGACTCGCCTATAACAAAAATCATGGCCTCAAACTAACACCGGCCAAATTGCCCCACACCCCCGGCCAAATAACCCTGCTAGTGGGGTAATTTGGCCGCTTTGCAGGCCTTTGTAATACGCCACAATTTCAATATAAGTAGTTACTCAATCATTTCAAGTTTACAGTCCAAGAAAGTAAAATGTATGCCACACCTGTCAGCGTTGAGAAAATGCAGAAATGTGTTGTCGACTTTTAGTTACATCGTTTTCTAAAAAAAGCGGCCAAATTACCCCACTCTCCCCTACGTCTTTGCAGTTTGCTCGCAGTGAAAATGCCGCCATTGCCTTCCGGGACTGAAATGTGCAAACTATATGGGGTTATAAACCGACATAATTGGGGTAGGCGGACTAGGAAATATGTAACCTGGGCATAACTTGACCACTATCTCATCACTGAAGAAAAACGGCCGGTGTTAAAGGGACTATCCCACCTTTAACATGGGGTTTGAGTTGAGATAGCCAAGTTTGCGGCGAGGTTCAGAAACCACTATCTATCTAGGTTGCAACCCCCGTGGCCTCTTGGTGTTGAAGAAATTCGTTCCCTTCATTTGAAAATGGGCCTTGTGCAAGGCCCATCTTCAACATGGAGCGACCCTTAGTGTGACGTCACCTCGTTTAGTCATTCTGATTTAAATGGGTTTGTTCGTTGAAAAATCGCTTAAAACTTGGTCTGAACTTTGTTGTGGTGCCTACAGAGTAAAAAGAATCAGCTTTATGACAGTAATGTGGCCTGGGGAAGGAGGTAATTTTGGGCTGTGAGTTGTGACGTCACATATTTGAAAGTTTGTGTTTGGAATATGGGAAGCCTAAGATGTTTAATGAAAAATAAATGCCAGAACCGTGTTCCTGGTCATCCAATCTATAAAGTCGGGCACAATTTAACTGGTTTTAACAACATTTTAGAAGGTGGGATAGTCCCTTTAATAATGCAGACAACTATTGACCTTGCATCTCCCCTCCATCGTTATTACTAAGATAGATTAGCTCGCAAGCTAATCTATCCGCTGAGCTGCCCGCCTCCTCCCCCCCCCCCCCCACTGACCCGTGCATTGGTCCCTGGGTGATATTATTGGCGTGGTCCAGCATCCCGCTGAGGGCGCTGCCGCCACCGGCCGCCTCAGTGTCGCCACCCTCGTCAGCCGTGGTGAAGTTGTAGTTCATCACGCGCCGGAAGATGGCGTGCGGAACGCCTCCGCCTCGGTCGCTGAATCTGAGGACACAGGAGGTTTGGGTGATGAGAAATTTGAGTCAAAGAAGCAACTGGTGTCATATTGTGCCTGAGGATGATTGCTCCCAAGTTTTGACAACTCTCGTCTGGAGTCTCGTGCAGCCTGTCAAAATGGATCGAGCCTGACGGCTGCAAGTGCACAGTGCACATGCACTATTTTCAGATTACCTACCCATCTCAAGTCTCAACCCACGACGGGACCAACACTCAGTGATGGCTTCATAAAACACCGCAAAGCCTTGTCGACTAAGACAGTGTGATAAGATAGTCCCTATCGGCCCTGACCAGACATTTATATCAGTACACTGAGAAGATAACCAATAGCAGCACCAATAGGCAATGTGCAATATGTAGGTATTGTATTCCCAGCGTTGGTATTCCGCTGAAGACTCACTCAAAACAGAGTAGCCTCCCGAGTCACCGCGTAAGAGTACCAGGCCTCCCAGGTCACTGAACCTCCTGCATCAGACGCGACTGCGCTATTGATGGTGCACATTACGAGGTACACGTCGAATAGCCAAATATTGCATTAGCATACGTTTGAATAACATGCGGTTTGCAATTGTAATTCAGCTCCGCGTCCTTACCAGTTCTAGAAACTTCACATAATGCATGAGCTCTACCTGACAGGACCTCCCAACAAGGACTAGCGTAGCATTCGGAGACTGATTCACAGTCTGGGCCGGGGTGTCGATGGGTTACAACGTACCGCCTAACCACAGGAATGAGGCACTTTCTCGTCACTCAGGAGGGGGGGGGGGGGAATAACCATATGCAGCCTTGAGGGAGATCAGTATAAGAGCAGCCTTGTCTTACACAGTGCACATGCACGCCGCCAAGCACCGATGACGGGTCGCGGATGTCGAGGTCACAGCAGGGTCACAGTGGAGCAGGCCGCAGTCAGCGGGGTCGGTGACGGCACCAGTCGGCGTGGGCAAGATCGATCTAAGCTCAGAGCTTACCGGGGTCATAATAGGCTCGGCACCAACGAGGGTAGGATTAGAACTAGCATGGTAAAAGAGGTACCGCTTCCACGGCGGATACACAGAGCCAGGTCAGAGTGCAAACGAAAAAGGCCGACAGATCAGCATTACGTAGTTACCAGCTTATCAACTATGCATGTCCTTGTCTGAGCACTGGTCAGTGGTCATCAGTTCCTTTCTTGTTCTTATGCATAAATGCGTGATGTTAATTGAAGCATGTGCATGAACAAAACACATACGGCCCGAGCCGCCTCGCACCTTGGCGTGACAGGACAACAGGTAACCTCATCACCAATTCACCTGTGTGCCCTCATCTTTCCTTGTGATACTGAGCATCAATTTCGAATTCAGCTATACTTTGACGCAAATGTATGTGCATGTCTATGTAAAACTACCGTCAGTGCGTGACAGAAAGCCCACGGCGTGGCAGAAGCCGGTGTTCCCCCGGAGCGGCCCAATCTTATAAAGTGCCGTACTTCCCTATCTACGGCATTTGGTAACATGCATGATGCCATCATTGACAAATGGCACATACGAGCCAACGATCCGATTCCCGAGGATATCACTATCAGGAACTGAAATGCAAAAAGACAATTTGGATCAAGAAGCCGTTTCATGTAGCTGAGCTTCGGCCAGTGCTGGCAAATCATATTTACGGCATTTATAAGAATGGACCCAGGAGCTATGAAAGTGTGATAAGTTTCACTTTTGTGATGACCACTGAGATAAGAAACACGCATACCGTGCCAGACTAAGTTACAAGTCTCCGCTACAATCGCATACCTAACACACGTGTCGACTGTCGAGCCTCTTTCCACCCCACGCGCTGAAAAGGGCAAACAAGGAAAATGCAAATGCTCTGACGTCATGTCTCCTAAATACGGCCCGAGATATTTATACAACCCGGGCTCCTCTTATGGCTACGAGCGTCATCGCCGGCCGATTTCTCGCCGATTTCCCTATGGATACCGGGTAGCCTTGAAAGGAGCGGTCTCAGCATGGTACTGCGGCCAGTCCCGAGGGGGGGGGGGGGGGGGCGACAAGGCGCTACCTATGGAGGTTGACGGCTTCTTCAGACCCCGCATTCCCGCAAGCTAACCAGTCACCCGTGCAAGCCGGGACAATCCATTCACAGCCGTTAACAGCCCAACCACACCTTCCAATGTGTACCCACGTTATTCAGAGAATGGCACACACACACATTGTCCAGAGCCAGAGCCGGGAAAACTCCGACCACGGGCCCGTCCGGTGTCCTGGGGGCAGCAGTACCAGGAAGGTAGACACAGACAGACGATGGCGGGATCAGATACCTGTCCCACTCCTCTCTCCCGTCCATCCACTCCTCTCTCCTCTCCTCCTACCCTCTCCCTAAACTTCCCAGGTGGGCCCGACCGATACTCCACTACACATGGCCGTCATACTGACACGTCCTGCACACAAAAATAACATCGACAACCGTCCTCACATGTGACACACCGACGAGCGTTACAAAGTTCCTTTGACAAGGACCGGCCAAAGTGCCGAATCTTCTAATACGGTGTAAGTGGGGGTGGCAGTGACCATGATGGCGCAGCGACCAAAGCCGTGCGATTATAACAGTGGCACTGCAAAAGTGATTGCCACTTGGAGGACGCTAAGTGGTGTCAATGCGGTCAATGGTTACTGATCATCGCCTACTGACAATGATAAGCATCCCAACCATCCCGTCCGGACAATCTGGGCAAGAATTTGACGGTTGGCCGATGATAAGAAGCTCATACGTGCTTCTTACAGCTATAAGTAGTGTCAGAATGCCTATCCGAAACTGCGTGCTGGTGTCGGAGCGATAGTGCAGTCGTATATGACATGCAGCCAATAGCCAATCATGACATCCAACGATCAAAATATGCACCCGGTATCATAAACACTGATAAGTGAAACAACGGCGCACCAGTCCTCCCAAGGACACATACACCTCCTATCTTAGCCAAGGTCAAATGGGCGAATCGCGTTTAGGCCAAATCGCGTCGATATTCTCTTTCAACGCACAAATATCACCACATGATGTAATCAACCATAGCAGCCTCAAACCTGACGTGTCACCGCGACGTGTTGAGATGCGACTTGACCTGGCACGCCTACAACAATATCCGTGACCCCACGCGTCACAGTCTGCGTCACTCATACGTCACGTCACGAACGTCCCACTGTTAGGTGTGAGTCGACAACACCGAGGGGGATCCGTGAACCTAGCCAGCATCAGCCAAAACCCCAATGAGCCAACCAAAGTCCACAGTTCACAGTTACGTACCCTTGCTCTTACATCACCAAGCATCAACCGGCTATTCCCGAACTATCTTGAAGGCACCACGATCGCTTCAGAATTATGGCACTGCTACCGCACCAAATCGAATTCGATCGAAGCGTGATAGACGATAGGACAGTCGCATAGGACTATCATATTCCAACAGTAGGAACAATCAAAGACGACTTTTCCTACTTTTCGTAGGTTTTCTTTTGCCTACACTACTTCGTATGAGGGCGATCGATGATGCTCAATTGGTTATGGAATCAGACACTTTTGTTTGTATTGAGAGGAACAAGGTGCATTTATCGCCGACATGAAAAGACTAAAAACGAATGCTTAGAAAACCCCAATGCACTTCACTTATTTTACTACACTGCCGAATAAACGAATCAATTAGCACCATTGCTACTGAGCTACAAGCAAGCAGAAATAACGCAGATTTTACTTCTGAAAGGAGCATTGATCGGTCGTCCATTCATCTCATCTCACCTGATGATGAAGTCGACGTCGTTGTTGGCGATGGTGACGTGGATGGGCGGCAGGTGAGACTCCGGCACGTCCGGGTGGGCCTCGATCGTGGCGCGCACGGCGTTCTTCAGAATCTCCGGCACGATATAGTCGAGCGGCACTGCTCCCGGGGAGCAGCAGACGGAGAGAGAGGGAGGGAGGGAGGGGTCAGTTAGTGGTGCGAGAAGAGCGAGAGCCGTGGGAGGGGGCAGTGGACGGTCTCAGCATCGCGCATCGCTGCGGTGTATCCATCAAGTCCGACTGAGGAAAGGCTGTTAAATTTGAGTCACCGAACCATATCCTCATCCACCCCCAGGGCAATAGGTTCGATGATTCTCAAATTTAGCAGCCCTGCCTCGGTCGGGCTTGATGGATCCACCGCACCGATGCGCGGTACTTTCAATAGAGACTGGGCAGTAAGCGGTGATCACAGACATAAAACATCAGACAACAGCGGAATTAGGTTTGCAGTGTCTCTAGAAGGAATCATTATACCTCAAGCGGGACCGGAATGGAGGTAAGTTGGCAGTGTTTCTGTTTGCTGACGTCAAATAGTAGATCGGTCAGAATTGGACGCCATGAAAACTTGGAAAAAAATCTGCTTAATTCCGATGCTAGACAGACATGACACGAAATGTTGTACCACACTATGTAACACCCATGTTTGCCCGCTGTTGATCACGAAATGATTCAGCCTAAGCTCGACGGTACAGACAGCCAAACCCCAGGCGATGACAGCACACACCACTAAACCAGGGAGCTTAAAATAGACTTAATCTCGTACACTTCCTGTCATAACCAGTAACCACTGGCTAAGATACTGGCACATCCTTTGTGTCATCCTAGCCTCGAACCAGAACCAAGTCCCCACAGTGCTCCATTAGAGGTTCCTCCAGTTTGCGCTGAGTTATTTATGTCACATCATAACTCGCGTTATGAGGAGCTGTAATCAACGAACATAAAACTTAATCTGATAAAATCTGAGCGGGTGGCAATATATTTGGAACATTTCACGACACCCACGTGTCATATACATTTTACAACGCCCTAAATTTGAGATCTAACATCACACAGACCGACAAGCAGACATACAATCGATAAGCCCGATGTATCAGTCGCCTACAACCACTTCTTCCTTCCTACCCACCCCAATCGTTACCCACCTTCGATATAGGGCAGTGTGGCGTTGACATGTCCCGAGACCCGCACGGTGGGCGCCTTGCCGTACTTGTGTCCGGCCAGCCGGCAGGCGAACTCTGCCCACCGCTCCAGCACGTCCTTCAGCTTCATCGACAGGTTGATGATGCCGACGTGACCCGGCTGAGGAGATGAGGGGAGGGAGCGTGATAATGTTTATTGGTGTTTGTGATACCTTCCAGACGTTGCAACAAACATGACTACCGACCGATGTTTGCCTGTTTGGGTTTTCAAGGCCAACGGACTGTAAGAGTCATCGGTGCTAGCAATACCTTACCTCCATCCGACTCGATCGCTTTTCCATTACGCACCTGACCCTCTCTCCCCACTACGTACCCGTTACTTTATGTTTCGTACCCGCCCCTTTCTCCCTGTTTCGTACCCGCTCATATTTCCCTGTTACGTACCGTTCCTGTCTCCTCGTTACGTACCCGCTCATATTTCCCTGTTACGTACCGTTCCTGTCTCCTCGTTACGTACCCGTTACGTATCCCCTCATTACGTACCCGGAGGCTACCACCTCATTACGTACCAGGAGTCTATCCCTGTTACGTACCCGTTCCTCTCTCCCCTGTTACGTACCAGGAGTCTATCCCTGTTACGCACCGTTCCTCTCTCCCCTGTTACGTACCGGTCCTCTCTCCCCTGTTACGTACCTGGAGTCTATCCCCTGTTACGTACCTGGAGTCTATCCCCTGTTACGTACCCGTTCATCTCCCCTGATACGTACCGTTCCTCTCTCCCCCTGTTACGTACCTTTCCTCTCTCCCCTGTTACACATCAGGAGTCTATCCCTGTTACGTACCCGTTCCTCTCTCATACTGAGGTGATGGAGCGCCAGCATGCGAATACCCAGGCGAGAGGTGAGGGTCTCATCCAGGAACCGGCTCACAAACTCTTCCGACTGGGGACAAACAGACAGCGTGTAGTTAGATCGATCATACAATCAGACTATCAGACCGAGCACAGACATACAAACTGTAGCGCTATCTGATAGTCAGACCTATAAGATCGTGCAGACACATACGAGAGCCCATTAGATAACAAGACCCAGACAGATAGCAGATCATTCAGACTCAGTAGGCACGGGCAGGAGACTCATGAGACCCAGCAGGACTGACGCGACAAAGAAGACCCATCAGACCCAGACAGACAGACAAACAACAGACCATCAGACACACACACACCCATCAGATACACTGCAGAGACACACATCAAACTTATCAGACCCATGAAACCAAACGGAAAAGCCCATGCACACGGATATTGTATAGGTACCTACAATGTGCATAAACCAACGCAAAACAGCTGGACTTTTCACATGCCGACTGGTTTCGACTTCATACTTCGGTCAACCGGAGACTCTTTCGCCGAAGGCGATACACACCAGGAAAACCTAGCAGCGCGTTCCGACCGGCCCGACGGACTAGACACGAACTCCCGAAGTGCATCGGCGATAAGGCGTAATATAGGCACATGACGTTAGAGTCACATGTTTGTATTCATGGCAGCACATAATCGGGACATGCCTCCGGCCGGCCGGCACCTGCCGGACCTGGCACCGTCAGTGAACATCAAAACCCCTCCGTTTGCAGACCCGGGGAATGAGACGACTCCAAGCTGCATCAAATCACTGGTCCCACCTCACTCCCAAAACATCACTGCAGTATGTGTGCTGCAATAGCATGGCTAACCAGCTGTGGTTAACAGACACCGGAAGTGAGAGGATGGCATAGGTCAGCTGGTTTGCAGCAAGCGACGGCTAAATACTCTTACGTTTGTTTGCTGTTTCTTTATTGGGGCTTCCGGGCGCACCGACTACAAAGGTTATCTTGTTATCTTTTGCACTCATTACTAATTACTCAAAATGTACAAGCAACGTAAGAATGCACATTAAAACCGAAAAAAGCTCGTTGCTCGATATAAACTCATTCTGTAATTCACCTTTAGTTGCTGATGGATGTATATGCGGCCCATGCATGTGACGTTCACTGCAAAAAGTTTAAAATGCATGTAAAATTAATTTGTACGCTGGTGAATGAGTCACACTCAATATGCACTATGCAATATGCATAGTACTCAAACGAAAATGTTTGTGAAACACACCAGGCGAAACAGGAAGTCAGACCATTTGGTGACTCACTGAGGAAAAGTTCCCGGAATATACATAAATAAATTCATAGCACGGTCTTGGTTATAATCGGGGACACTATTTGCATGACGTCCGTGACAGTCTCGTATCGCAAGGGTATTTGCAACTGCCGTCTCCAGTCCCATGCATGGGATGTAGATTGCAGAAACGATTTCTAACTATGACACATTTGCGTTTCCTGGCGATATAGGAGCAATTGTTTTATTTGAGGAAACAAGGACACCGCGTCACAGTAGGAGGTTCTGAAGCAAGGTCAATGGAACATAATTCAAACAATGATCCTTGCAAATCCGCTAAAGGTTGAGACGCAGCTCTCGCGCGTGCTGATTACGCCTTGCGCTTCTAATTAGAATAGGTACAATACAACTACATAACATATTTTTCCATTTTCGCTCCCAACTCGCAGCTCGGCCGTGCAAGTTGGGAGCGAAAAACGTGCCATTTATTCCAATGGGAGGAGCGAGACACGATTACCACGCGTGATAGCTGTGTTCCAGGTTGAGGAACTAAATGGCTATCGTTTGAAAAGCCCGAAAAGCCTTAGCTTAGAGAAAATCAACTCCATTCGTGCAACAGAGCCACTGTCCACATGAGCCAAACACAAAAGTTCAGCACAGTACGCCCGCCCGAGGTATTCTCACGGTCAGCATGGGAAAGCCAACATGCACTCCAATCCATTGCCCGGGAGAAGCCGTGGAATGGTGTAAGTTCCAGCCGTATCGAAGAGTGGCAGTGTGCTTCACCTAGCGTGGGAGCCGTGAGGGACAGGTGGGATGCCATGGTCATAATCCTGCAAACCACACGCCTGCTCAGGCGCGGCGCGGGCGGAGCGATTCTCGTAGAAGTGATGTTCTCTTACGATCGGGACGGCGCGGGGGTCAGGCTCAGCTCATTCTTCCAACCCACACAGCCCGTCCGCCGCAGGAGACGGGACTGGTGGATCAGTATATCGGTCCGCACAGACACGTCTGAAGTCACGTTGACGTTTATTGTAATGTTTAAACACTTTCCACACCCACAACTCCTGTACTGTAACTACAAACAGCACAATATCCTGACTAATGTCCCAGCGCCAGCGGCGGGATCGGGAGCTGATTGGTCAAGTCACTCAATGCTGGAGCGTCCGAGTTTGTTGATGTCTCCATGGAACCCGAATGCTCTACGTGTGCTAACAGCCTGCTAGCAGCGGCCGTGAAACACCGGCCTGGCCAGGCGGGCCTATGCCGATCATCCGAGCGAGCTTTGGGATTAACCATGTGGGATGGCTCCCGGAGCTGACAGTGGGGATGAGGGAGCGTCACAGACAGATAGAACGTCCCCGGAGATTATCCGACGGGCCAGTCGCGAAACTCGGGGGGGGGGGGGCGTCCCAGCAGCAGAGAGCATCCCTACGTCATACCCACCCTGGCAATGGGGAAGTTTCCCGTAAAATCTTACCATAGAAAGTAGAACCGATAATCTAGGGAGCGTTACAGCAGAAAAAGGCACAATGGGATACCGCTCCCCGGATCACACCTGGATACCTGACGCTGGGACCGTCCCGAGGGAGTGAGTTGAGTACCTACCCTGGGCGGAGCTACCAGACCAGCCTGGTCCGGTGCATTCCAGTCCGGTCCGGCGCGGTACACGGGGAGTCCCTGGCAAGTCCCGGCGGCGGCCACAGTCGACCCACGGATCATAGAACGGATAGGCAACTCCCCCCGGCGACCTGTCTCCCCTGCCACCTGGTGGGCATTTAGGTGAACTATCTTCACTAAGGACGCGGCCGGCCTTATGCATGTGGGGGGCGTCGTGTCGGAGCTAATTTGGTGATTTTTCTGCGGAATATGGTTTCTCAGCTAGTTTAGAAGATATCTATGATATAAATGAGAATGGCAAGAATCGTTAGAGACGGGTAAAAAATTCAGCTTGTATCCTTTGTCATGAAAATCGTTGTTTTTAAACCCAGGTGGGCGACCTAGCGTTCCTAGCAAACTTGGTACTTTTCCGATCGTTGAGGGCTCCAATGTATATTCCATGAATACATTTTGATAGATTTTCATCTAAAGATGAAATTTAATCTCTAAATTCCACAAATATTCTTGCATAAAGCCATGCGGCGTGGGTTCTATGAATTAGCCGGCCGAGGAGGGGGAGGGCGGGTGCCGCCCTTCTCATAGTATTTATTTTTTGCGATAGCTCTGAACGTGCCGGCGTTAGAAAGCTGAAACTTGGCATACCTGACCTTTGATTCAAGCTGCATCTTACGACTTTAGTCGCATTTTCAGGTCAGGTCAGGTCACTGACTTATGTCGTCATAAGTGAACCGCTGTACGGTCCTCAGATGTCGCAGCTTCGCAACGTCCTCAGTGCCAGAGGAACTTGCACAAATAGATGAAATTTAAAGGATATAGTATCCTCCAGAGGTCTCTGAACTTTTATATCTCGGATTTTTCCTTAAGTCACATGAGGTCAGGTCGGTCACGTGACCTCACCATTAGGTATGGGAAAAATAGGGAAAATAAAAACTTCTATTTTAGCACCGGGAACGATCTCAAACTATATCAAGCACACGGAATCGTAATTTCTTTAACTCCTTGCAAGGTCCGAAATTCACTTTTGCATTGTTGATGTGACTAAGGTCATAAGTTTTTCGTCGATAACTCCCGATCAAATTGAGCCAGCGAGTCGGTAAAGTCACCAATGAACTCAGAAAGACCTGCCGAAGTATGCGACATGACCTCTTTCGACCAGCTTTGTGACCTGGGGAGGCGCTGACCTGACTTTGACCCGAGGTCAACACCTCAAGTTGACCTCACCCGAACAAAAAAAAAATATACCATTGGGTCGTACCTCCCCCCCCCCCCCTCGGCCGATGCGTGTGTAGACAACTTATAGGTCCGGCGAGGGTTAATCTGTATAGGTTATTTTGAAAATTTTACCTCAAATTTCAGATCGGTCAAAATCAGGCCATGACCTAATCGGTACATAATTTACCTTCACCCTCGCCCGTATATGGGGGTCGAGGTCGAACGGACACCCCCCCCCCCCCCCGAGGGTTAACAAGCCCCTATTCCAGGGCCACTGGATGAGAGGATAGCAGGGATACATTAGAATGACAAAAGGCGGTCCGTGGCTCAACCAGCCTCGGGGCCAAAAAACTAAGGGGCACGCTGCTACCCAATATCATAAGGTATGACCGCTTCCGTTCATATGGAAACGTAAGCATTAGCAAACTGTTCACAATGTTGCCGTTTTAATGGAAACCGGCTAAATGTCGATACCTTGTAGCGACGGGAAGGAGCGTCTCGTGAAACAGGACCCGTGGGCCACTGAGTCATGTTTATGGCCAGCAAATCCATAGCAGCCACCCTTTACGACGTTATAACAGGTCCCGATTTTCCCGACCTTTGGGTCATTGACCTGACCTGGAAGGTCAACCGATAACCTAGGACCTTAAAATTGGGTATCATCGGCTTCCTCTCGTCACGGGCAACACGCTCGTTTTTTCCGCGAAGCTCTAGCTCGATCAGTGGCCAAACGGCAAGGGGGGGGGGTCCAACGGACCCCCCCCCCCCGCTTATACGTTCGCGGCTGGAAAAACACCAATACGGCCGAGGGTTAACATTGACATGTTTTAGTAACATTTCAGCTGTTAAAGACTCTCTAATTTAATGGTTCCCACCCGTTTCCCCGTGCCCTTTACATTGGGTGCGGAGACCGGCCGGCTCCCCTCCTTAGTGAAGATATCCGCGCCGCTAGATGGCAGCCCGCTCCGCGGGTACACCGATAACAATGGGCAGCGGGGGGAGTTGCCTATCCGTTCTATGATCCGTGGTCGACCGCAGGCGGCCGGCCGGACAGGTAACGGTGAGATGGAAACCCGGCTCTAACCGGCCGGCGCCGGTGAAGGGCCGATGGAGTTCTATATAGCCTTGGGGGGGGGGAGGGAGGGAGGGAGGGAGGGAGGGAGAGAGAGAGAGAGAGTGGGAGAGGGAGAGAGAAGAGAGAGTGTGAGAGAGAGAGGGGGAGAGAGAAGAGAGAGTGAGAGAGAGAGAGAGAGAGAGAGAGAGAGAGAGAGAGAGAGAGAGGGGGGAGAGGCAGCCGTCGGCTGCTCTATCGCTTCTCTCCCCTCGGCGGCTCTCTCTGAGGTTGGGATTTCTGACGTCCGAAGGACTGTCTACCGAGCGGAGATCAGGAAGAGGTCAGGGATACAGCCTTGTGATGTTGCAAGCCTCTGGCCCCCACGAAAACCAGGAAGTGGATCCACATTGCACATACATAATCCATGCTTGGAAAGTGGGTCAAACCTGAATATAAAGCTGGAACATGCGATCTGGCATACTCAGCAGCCTGCAAGGATGTTTGGATTAGGGGGCAGGGTGCGGTCGCTGGCAGTGCTGGGGCGAGCGGGTCCGATCAGATGGGGACCTACAGCCGACGCCATGTGGCTGGGAGGGGAAGGGGGGAGGAGTGGAAGGTTTCTGCCGGTGCTGATGCGGGCGCGCGAACGACCTCCAAAGGGACGGTTCCAACCAGTCGCAATCAGATTGCAGAAGGCAATGGTGCGGTAGAAAGTACCTATGCGTTTGTAGGCGATAGAACTAATGAAATATACTGCTGGATAAGGGGATAAGTTCACAAGTAAAAATGTCAGAGAACTCAGGTCTGATTTTCAATAGAAAAACACAATTCTATCGAATAGCGTTTTCAGTCAAAAACCTTCGCCTACTCGTTGACGTATTTTTTTACTAAGCGTGTTAAGTTGCTGAAGTTAGGCGTTAGCCATGACGGCCATGACGTATAGTCTCTCTTGAAAGTATCGCGACTCTGAGGGAAGGCGCCACCTGTCCCAGCCGCGGTTGAGCGGAAAGGTTTGAGAGCCGCTGGTAGCACTGACCGGAGCCTGACACGCGGAGGCAGCCGGCGCGGCGGGCCGGGCCGAGGGGAGTGGTTGCGGACTGCGGAGGGATAGGGGGAGGTGGCAGTCGCCATCCGGTAACTTGTGATGGCAGCTAAGCATGTGATCAACGAAAGCCACCCTACTCGCAGAGGATTTGTTGAGATTTGTTTCATTGCAAAGTTAGCAATTTGACTCGTCATCGGCACGACTGTCACATTTTTTTTTTGGGGGGGGGGGGTGAAATCCGGAAACCCGTGCCCATATACCCAAACAATCATCAGTTGCACCCGCAAACAGAATGCATCCGTGCTTGCACGTGCACTCGTAAGCGGATTCAAAAACAAAAATTATCTCTCTAGCCAGTTCGCCAATTCGCTGTCTAGCCATTTAGTCCTATATTTGAAGTTCTCTCTTTTTAATGAGCCGGTTAGTGAACGGCGACAAAAAAGAAAAGAAATGCTGTTCAGCCATGTTCTTTTTAAACACTTATTTGATGCCAGGCTTCCCCCCCATGACCTGTTAACGTCATTCACAAGGCCTCATCACAGTAAGGGTTATGGCGGAACTTCGCTTCGTTGTGATTTTACGCGTCACGCACACTGAGTAATTGGCGCCCAGTAAGGCACACCAATGAGCGCCCGGCTGGTGAGCCCAAAAGGCACCGGTATCCGCCTGGGGCGGTGGACGGGGTCAAGGGAGAGCGATACGAGCATGACCTTTGGCCGGCCTCCGCCTGTTTTGACCCAGTTGATGGGGCCTGCGTCATATACTAGTTTTCCTTCTACCGCTGGCGTGAAATCGTGTTACAGCGTACTTTTTATGATACAGGCCATGACCTCCCTACTGGGGTCCTCAAACAGAATGGAATAGTTCGCTGAGCCACCGCAACCCAGGACGCGATACTTTCAAGAGAGACTATACAGCCCTCCCCTTTCTCAAAGACTGCTGCCGCGAAGCCCATACATCACCAGATTTCCACTGCAGTTGTATGCAAGGCGACGCTGCCCTGTTGCCCCGGCCCGGGCCGCCGTTGCTGTCACCGTGCAGTGAATAAGCACGTGACTTTGCAAAGTGCCGTGCGGACGCTGGACACGTCCCGGCGGCGGCCGGCAACAGGGGGCCTGTCCGCCAGGGTGGTGCACTGAGGCGCTGAGGAGGCAGTCTCCGGCCGGCGCGCCCACTGCCCAGTCACACAGGCGCGTCCTATACCGGCGCCGACTCAGCCCCGCCCGTGTGTACCTATTCGTCAGCCAAGGCAAATTTAGCTTATTTGTCAAACCATCAACCAGCGATCCACACAATGCAGTCGGGGATTCAAAAACCACACCGGCCTGCGGCGCTCCGTGCACCGCCGTACCATGACGGACCGAACGGCCTTCCCGGAGTGACGTCACGGGCGTCTGGCTCCCACGGCGAGAGACAACAGGAAGAGAGGGAGCGGCGAGGACGCGGTCCTTCCCCGCCCGCCCCTGCCTCCCGCGTCGCCTCCCGCCTCGTTTGGCTGGTCACCGGCCGGCGGCCGTCCACAGTCAGCGGCGGGATACGGGAATATCGGAGAGGGGGTATATTATCAGCGGGGAAATATCAACACCGTGACGTAACAGTGACGTAGCACACGTGACTGTGACGTAGCTGACGGCACGTGCCAGACCGGTAGTAACAAGAAAGCGACGCCGCTTCACGGGAGGTATTTCGCCATTGCTGTACCGAGAATGTCATCAGGTTATGGTAAACACCGCAACGCATACCATTGCGTGTGCACGTGTGACATGAACAAACGCAGTGAATACCCGTCTTTTCACATTGAGATCCAGCTCTAACATACTGTTACCAGGAAATGCTAGTCATCAGGCGACTCACCGATGTGGCGACTCACCGAGTACCTTTGTAGGCTGTACTAGCGACTCAGTGACTCGCTCCCAGACCGTACCTTTGTTAGCCGAAAGTAACGGCTCATGTTTCGCGGTAAGGCGGCCTCGACAGCCGGGGAAACAGCCGTTATCCCCGCATTCAGAGAGGAAAGATGATGCCCACGAGATAGTGATCGTACAAGGAAAAGGTGGGGAGAAATTGCAACCAATTCGACAACATATATGTGCAATTCACAAAAAGATGGAACCACGAAACAGGATAGCACTAGGAGCCGCATCTAATACCGGCATTGCGTTTTTTTTTTTGCCAATATACATAGCTGCCGATCAACAGACACTGACAGACGCCAGACATAAGCTCGCATACTACACTGACATTGGCACGTAACATTGACATAGCGACCAACACATTGACATACAAAGAACACCACTGACGGATTCATCACACGCATTAAATCCAACATACCTCTCCGCTCCATCCCTTCACCCTACAACAACCCTACTACGCCAACCAGCTCCCCGACTACTGACCATACTCGACTAGCAGCGAATCAGTCACACCACCATCCAGCACCGTCGAACCCTCAGCAGTCAGCACCCATCTTTGTCACCCACCTTGATGTGTTTGCGGCAGGCGCGGAAGCCCTCTGCCAGCTGGGAGACCACGTCGCGATGCTGCTCCAGTAGCTCCCGCAGAAGTTGCGAGTAGCGCAGCTCGTCGCCACCGTTTCGGATCGGAGGGAACTCGTTCAGCAGGTGGAACGAACGGATGTACATGTCGTGCTGTCGAGAGAGCGGATCAGAGGGAGTGTCAGAGAAATAGGCGGGTAAGGGAGAGAGCATCAGGTCACCAGGTCATGGAGGGGGAGCACCAGGTTAGTTCACCAAGTCAGCAAGTCGGCGGGGAGGCACCCATTCGCCAATCTAGGGGGTCACTAGGTCGTCAACGGGATTGAGGTCGGAAAGTCACAAGATAAAGGGAGATACCACGTCCCCAGGTCAGCAGAAGAGGTCACCACGTCGGAGGAAAACTCGTGCGCGGCTGTTACCTAAGTGCGATGCCGAGAAATCACCGAGGAAGTCAGATCCGACATCTCGGAGACAAAGCTGCCACGAGCCGCAGCTTTTGTCCCAAGACCACGAACAATGTCCGGTGACTCAGGATATACCTACAGCGGGTGTAGTGATGCTTCCCTCTGAGCGGCCAGTCCACGCCGACGGGTGGACCTTCACCCGTCCCTCCCTGTCCGGAATCCAGAGTGCTGTTCACGGACACCTGCGGTAACTGCGGTAGCTGCGGTGGATCGCAGGCTGTAAGTCCCGCCCACTTGTGCGCACGTCATCACGCGTTCGTCTGAGGCGGCCGTGTCAATTTTACGCCCAAGTTACACGAATGCGCAACTGCCGCGCCACTTTGCATGACAAATGGCTCCTGCGGCCGCTGCGGTCGGATCGTTTCGACCGCAGGAGACGCAGGCGACCGCAGCCGGCCGCAGCCGCATGACGTCACACCACCTGCCCCATCCCCACTTTCTGTGACGTCATTACCCGGCTGACCGCCGAGCCGCAGCTACCGCAGCTACCTCAGGTGCCCGTGAACAGCACTCAGCTGTGCCCGGTCCGTGACGCACCGAACTGCCCTACCATCACCCGGCGCCGACGGCGGGGGCGTGGAGGTGCCGGGCAAGGTCCTTGGGGACAAACCGGAGTTGGACCCGGATGGGTTCTAAACTTCTAGACGGGAGTCGGGCCGGCCGGACTTGGTCCCGGACCAGCCCGGACCCGATTAGCCTCGAGCCGGAGAGAGGGTATAGTGGCAAGATAGAGTATAGAGCAAGTATAGAGCAAGTATAGTGGCAAGTATAGCGGTAATAGTGGCAGAAGATGGTGCGGTGGCGTCAGAGGACGAGGAGAAATACGAGGAAGTAGTTATAGGAGGGATACGCGGTAGGGACTCACTGGTGATTTCGTAATGTCCACTTCTTTGTGGTTGTCGGGTGCAACGAAAAAAAACATCAAGAACATGGATTGCGTATACAATGGTGCAAACTGTTTCATGCCTGTGTTGCGATACTCCCAAGATGCAGGATATTGATACCATCTGCAGGATATTGGGATTGTGATACTCATCACATGCAGGATGTTGTGGTTGTGATACTTACCACCTGCAGGATGCTGGGACTGTGACTTGTGATACTTACCACCTGCGGGATACTGGGGTTGTGATACTTACCACCAGCAGGATGCTGGGGTTGTGATACTTACCACCTGCAGGATGCGGGGGTTGTGATACTTACCACCTGCAGGATGCTGGGGTTGCAGCCGATGACGAAGGGCAGTGTGCGGAAGCCGACGATCCGGTGTGCGATCCTGACCGGCAGCTCCTTCCTCAGGTACGTGGCACTCCTCTGCAAGACAGAGAGAGGTATGCGTCACCACCAGGACAAACTCACCAACTCACAGCAGAATAGCGACGAACGGGCACTGACTGAATTGATTTTACAGAACAGAGGCCAGTTTTACTTTACCAACAAAAAAAAAAAAAAAACGTCACCTGCCGGAATTTTTTGCCTAAAGTCATTTAACATGCAGGCAAAAAAAGTCCACTGATGTGAACATTGCAGCCATTGATGCAAACAGCCTTACTTATGTATATGTTTTCACATCAGTGGTTATTTGCAGACATGTGCTTGGATCCGAGAGCTGGATCTATGATCTCAGTGGATCTCTCGACAAAATAGAGGGGTTGGATCTATGATCCGAGTGGATCTCTCGACAAAATTCAGGGGTTGGATCTATGATCCGAATGGATCTCTCGACAAAATTTAGGGGTCGGATCTATGATCTCTGTGGATCCAGCGGGCAAAAATTTGTGGAGGACCTATGATCTGTATGGATCTCACGACATGTAGCCAATGAAACCCTTATCCTACATAAACCTTACAGTGCAATACAATTGAGAATTATCACTTGTGGACATGGTTATTGGTTAACACCACCTGTAATCATTAGGTATCATCATTAAATTTGAATTTAAATAAACAACATTTGTACTACATTTAAAATAAACCAAGAACATGCATATTGCTACTTTTTGTGACCAATTGTAACTTTTTCATGACAGCACTGATGACTATCTTATCAACAGGCTACAGCCACTTAAATTCAATGAACAAACAGTACAGACAGATGCAGTGGCAGCAAGGCACTGCAGATTTTCATTTTGATCCCATTCTTTCCATGCAACGCCAGTAGGGCTAATGTTAAAATGCCAAAATCTATGGGGGGCACTGTACCCTGGTGCCACCCCCCCCCCCCCCTGTTCTGCCGCCTATGGACACTGGACAGATGTTAGGAAATCAAACCTGGAAGCCAAATAGGTCAGTTTTGTTAAAAATAATCCAGCAATCCACTTCTGCCAGGTATGAAATCCCAATCCAGAATGTTCGTATGAGCTATTAGTATGTGCAACACAATTTCTATTTAGTAAGAATAGCAACCAACCTCTAATACTTAATATTCTACAACCTAATAAAATTACAAGTTCAAAAATGGCATCAACTTCTTCAGATTACCTACTTTTGGCATCGTGCCACGTGTGGTGCCATGCTGTGCTTTTGTTATGAGAGAGCCTCCCAAAAAAAGACAAACGAAATTCACAGCTCACGTTTTGGTAATATGGTTTTATTACGTCATTATCGTTTGACCAATGAAAAATCTTAATTTGACCAAAACCGTAATGATTCCAAAAGATTCCCCGTAATAGGCCCTTTAAAGTAATGACGTAAGATATTGTTATTCTTTAGAAAAGTGAATAAAATAAAGATGCAAGGCGCACACCGCTCAGGGCCATGTAAAACCATTTCAGCTTACGTTTACGTCATTAAATGTAACGCTACAAAGATGATATGCACAAACAATCGTATCGTAAAATTATGTGAGGCAGATAAAATGAACATTCTTTAAAAAAAAAACTCCAGACTTTTGAATTTCCAGTTTGATTTTTTATTTATTTTCATTATACTCGAAGGTAGAACGCCTAGCTCATTTGTTATTTGAAATGACGTCACGAGTTCTATTTAGATACTGAATAATCATTTTACGGTAAATATCCGAGGCCATTACAATTGATATTTCGCTTCCCATCGCTTCCGCAGGCTGTTGAATATTTTTATACTTTTGTTTATATCTCAGTTTATTTTATCAAATATTTCTTTCAATGGATTGAAATACCTTTACCTAACCAAGCCACATGTGTCAGTATCATCTTTTATTGTTTATCAATCAATTGTGGTAGCTGGAAACTGGGAAGTCTCATGGTTGTCTAATGCAAGATTGTCTTATCAATATCATTATGTAGATTCTAACATGAATTGTGATGTGGTAGTTACCTAGTTATGTATTGTTCATTAGTCATTACTTTGACTTACCTCTATGTTAATTGTTAATGCAAACTTTTCTGTTGGTATGTGAACTGTGAACAATCTTCATGTCACTCAATTCTCTCAAATTGTGACCGTCATGAGCCTCCTTTATTTTGTATTCTATATAATGTAACTGGATGCCTTTACTAATATGCCTTTGTATAAGATTGTTTGTTTCTAACCATACTTTGGTATTCATAACTTCTTATGAAAGAAAGTTGTTAACATTTTGAGCACCTATGAGCTATGATCCCAATGGATCTCACGACAAAATTGGGGAGCCAGATCTATGATCCGAGTGGATCTAGCGACAAAATTGAAGGGTCAGATCTATGATCCCAGTAGATCTCTCGACAAAATTGAGGGGTTGGATCTATGATCTGAATGGATCTCGGATCGGGATCCATGGGATCGGATCTCAGATCCATTTTTCCGGATCCAAGCACATGTCTGGTTATTTGTTCTGGTGATAAGTTGAGCTTGAGGGAGACTTCTAGAAATGAAAATACTGGCAGCCGGCTATTTTCTTTTTTGTTGGTAAACCTGGCATCAAAGTTAACGACTCTGGGGCCTTGGTGATTAACTAAAAGCTTAAAACCGTTAATTGAAGAAAACAGTATTCTAGAACATAGCAAAGCGCTGTAACAATCTCTGGATGCAAGCCCCTCCTCTAAAAGAAAAAATAATGACTCAACAAACACTTATTGCCAATGACTTGTTCGCGACCCCTGCCTCCATCTAGTCTCCAATCAATAGCAGGCTGGGTTGTCGGTGAGATTCCGAGCGGGGAATACCCGGCACCGTCGCCGTCGACGAACAGGTCGACCAGAGACGCCGACGATGGCGACTCAGTGACGGCCGAGGTCTATTTTCGCCCGACGTGGGCAGGTCGCGCGGTCGGATCCAGGGTATATTGACTTACAGTCGGATCCACGTACAGAGGTGTATGGCGGGGAAAGGTCGGGCCCAACGGCGGACGGTCGCTGACGTCGTCACGGCCAATCACTCTACCTTTTTAAAGACTGAATGATAGGTCGGATTTTGACGTAAAATAAGTGGTATCCTTATGAAGCGAAAATTCAGTAGCACACTACAAGCAGCAACAGAATAGAAACATTGGATAAACTAAAGCTTCCTAGCGCAGCACCCGATCATATTCTACACAATTATTGCTGAAATTGAATTTTCTTATTCGGCGCTGTGCTGGGGGGGGGGGGGGTGCGTTTTCCCCGCCTCCGCAGGTTTTTCGGGAATATCCGAAGGTTGGGACTTTTCAATTAGACAAATCACTATTCTTTAGAATTATGATTTTCTATTGGATATCTTAAAAAACGGAGGCGCACAGCGCCACCATTTTTGGTACATCTGTTCAGACATCGTTTCCGCACATGTGAAAAATTTTGGACCGGGTCGTTCAAGGTCAGGTCACCAGGTCACGTCAAGTGACCATAACAAAGATAAAGTTCAAAGGCTGGCTGTAGCTACACCAACAGAACGATCGGTTTGAAACTCTCAGCGATTGAGAAGAGTAACATATGCACCTATAAGATGTATATCTCGGAATCATGATAGGGGAGGATGGGGGTAATTTGGCCGGCAGTATAATTCGGCCGCCCCCAACTGCACGATATCTGACAAAAGTGAATGAAATAATTCTAGTCTCTATTCATTTGTCATTGCCATTGGTGTCCGTGGAAAATTTTCGAAACTCTCCCCCTTGTAATTTTCTTTAAAATCAATAAAACGATGGTAACATTTACTTTTATTTGAAAATTGTATAGCATGTAGTATTTGGGTATAGTTGTACCCTGCATAATTTGTACCTACTTGCTAATGTGTCGAGCATGAACAAAGCACTTAAGTAGTTTAGCTATCATTTGCCACATTTTTCTAGGCATCTGACATGACATACAGCAGTGCAGAGCAGCTTTAGAGAAGAAACACTTAAATGCACAGACTCACACCAGCCACCCAATGAGCCAGTTCCTCAGTTGACTTTCCCTGGATGTGGCTTGGCAAGTTGAGCTATCGCATGTTTGAACGTTTGAAACCACGAAAAGCTTGCAAAGGCGCGGCTAATGCGAGCCGATATACGCCGAATCGCGATTCCGGCCAAACATGGCCTCGAGAAATAGATCACAGTTCAAAGGTCACATGGGTCAGGGTCATGAAATTTTCAGAGAAGGTGTAAAATTGATTAACTCGAGAATATTGAAAGTTTCGTCGCGATCGGCCGCTTTTTGCACGAGTTATTCGCAAAAAAAAAAATATGGGGAGGGGTACATCCGACCCTCCCCCCCCCCCCCGACACATGCGAGGGTTAACGGAAATTTCTTAGTATGGACGCCCGGCCGTGGTCACGCTTTTGCGAGGCTTATAAGTTATATCTCAGCAACAACTTGACCGATTTACATGCGGTAATTTTTGTAGGGTAGCTTCATTCCTTCTACCAAGTATTGGACTATTCCCAATGCATGTGGGCGACCCCTTATGCACGTGCCACGTGCAAAACGAAGAGGTGTCAGTTTTGTAACCATTGCAATATCTCGGTAACTGCTGGGCCGATTGCGCTGAAAGTTGGCATGTAGGCAATGCATATCCATGTGCCACAATTGGGGTGCTGCTGCACGTGCGCACGTGCAGGGGTCGATACTCGAGAACTGCTGAACCGATTCGCTGAACTTTAGTACATGGTTAGGGACCGGTTAGTAGGGTGCCGTGCAAAAATCAGTTGGGACCCATTTTGCACGTGCACATGTGCAGGGTGCCGCTTCCAGATCTCGAGGACGGCTAAGCAGATTGCGCTCAAATTGGGCACATCGCTAGGGACCGGTTAGTGGGATGCAGCTCCGTTGGTCACCCCAAAAGGCGATTTACAGGTAATGTAAGCATCGTTTCGTTTCATCGTTTTATATTTTTTCATCGTTTCATCGTTTTTATAAAACATATCTTGTCCGTGCATTAGGTATTTGTACATCGTTTGTACACCACACCTAACTATACAGGATATAATTAGTTTTTATCAATTAACAAAGCAACTCGTTTTTGCATCAAACGTTGACTAAAAAGCAAAACGACCCATCAAAGACAAGATTGCCAGGGTCCATCGCAATCTGAGCCAAGACTCTTACACAGTACACAGACTGCGTCCCCCCCCCCCCCGTCCGACCGCGGTGCGCACCACAGCACGAAACGAGCGCGACTGCCGGCGCACTGCCCCGAGTCCGGACCAGTGGAGCAGCCAGGGGGGGGGGGGTCAGAGGGTCAGCTGACCCCCTCGAAATTTCTGTCAGGGGCCCGCTCGAGAGAGAGGGAGAGAGAGAGAGAGAGAGAGAGAGAGAGAGAGAGAGAGAGAGAGAGAGAGAGAGAGAGAGAGAGAGAGAGAGAGAGAGAGAGAGAGAGAAAGAGAAAGAGAGGGGGATGTCCTAATCTAATCGGACGAGCCCGCTTCGAGAAATACCTACTGGGACACCACGGGCCCCCGGGAGAACGGGCCCGGGCCCCCTGGGTGGATGGGACCCGGGCCCCCGATGGATGGTGTCCGGGCCCCCGGTGGATGGGTCCGGGTCCCCGGGAGAACGGGCCCCGAGCCCCGGGTGGACGGGGCCCGGACCCCCGGGAGAACGGGTCCGGGCCCCCAGGTGGATGGGGCTCGGGACCCCCGGTGGATGGGCCCGGGCCCCCGGGAGAACGGGCCCCGGCCCCCTGGGTGGATGGGGCCCGGGCCCCCGGGAGAACGGGCCCGGGCCCCCAGGAGAACGGGCCCACGCCCGAGCCCCCGGGTGGATGGGGCCCGGGCCCCGGCAGAACGGACCCCGAGCCCTGGGTGGACGGGGCCCGGACCCCGGGTGGATCGGGCTCGGGCCCCCTGGTGAACGGACCCCGGAGCCCCGGGTGGACGGGCCCCGGAGCCTCGGGTGGACGTGGTCCGGGCCCCCGTGTGGATAGGGCCCGGGCCCTCGGGTAAATGGGGCCCGCTAGGGTGACCCGCTTGCTCCGCAACGCGAATAAGGGGTATTTTCGATCGGTGGGCGTTTGGCTGCTATTGTGTCCGTACTCCGTGGGTTATGTATCCGTTTCGGTCGATTGCCTTTTGACGGCTAAGTATTTTGGTTTGGGAAAAATATCCATCGCATCGAGGTGCTCGTGTCTGATAACCATGCGTTCTTCTATAGAACATGCCAAGTGTATTTTATAACATAGGTTAAGGACGTAATTAATTTAGGACGTAAAGTTACCTATTGAAAAATGAAGGCCATCGATGAATTACTTATGCAGAGGTTTGAAACATTTATATTTTTAAGAATATTGTTGCTCGTCATGCAAAAGCGATGATTGGATCTTGGACAAAATTGTATGCTCTTTTCAACTATGCCATTTTCAATAGTCAACCGTGCCAGGTTATGCAGCAAAACCCGTGTAATTAAGTAAGTCATGAACAAATTATGTTAGTTTTGATCACAGATGATGTCTTTATACATTTAGGCGAGGTCGGGTCAGGTCAGGTCAGGTAAGGTCAGGTCAACCAGTAGGGATCGTGACGGGTATTCGTAGTGCATACGTGTCAACCGCCTCTGACAGCTTCGTAACATGTTACGAAGGCACCAAAACTACTTCTTAAATGTTCAAATGGCTGCTAAATTCGAATTCAGCTAACAAAAACTAGCCTAGAAACATGCATAGCTTGAAAAGTGTACTGAGGTCCTCATAGGTCAATGACCTGATCTGACCTTCAGGTGACATTGACATCCACCCTTATGCATGGGAGCAACATCAAATCACATGTTTGAACGCTTGAAACCACGAAAGGACTGCAAACGCGCCGCTAATGCGAGCCGGCATACGCCGAACCGCGATTCTGGCCTCGGAACATGGTCTCGGAAAGAAGGTCAAAGTTCATTTGGGTCAGGGTCATGAAAATTCTAGGATAGGTGTAAAATTGATCAACGCGAGGGTACTAAAAGTTACGTTGCGATCAGCCGCTTTTTACGCGAGTAATTCGCGAAAAAAAAACTTTAGGGGGTTGCATCAACCCCATCCCCCCTGTGCCGGCGAGGGTTAAAACTTCTTGTGAGCGAATTCACGTAATGAAGAAGAATAAGGGCACAATCTACTACAGCAGCCAATAGGTGACTTAGGACAGGCACATGGAACTAGTATCTTGTCCGACAGAAGCAGGCAACAGTTCCGATTGCATTTAGGTATGCTATGCATATTGCGGAAGAGGCACATTTCGGCCTCGAAAGATACGAATTCTTACGTCATAGTAACATATTTCTGTCGTGGTCAATTTGCGTAAAGATTGAACACCGGGTGATATCCGAGCTATTGTTCTATCCACATTTTCTTATTCAAAATCGCTCAGGGTTATCGTGCAGGTAAAGGGGGCCCGCTCAGCAGAATGTGTATGAAATATGGAGAGATTCTGAAAAATGGGTGGGGGCCCGCACACTAGGGGGCCCGCTTTGGAGGCGATGACCCCCCCCCCCCCCCGAAACAAAATCCTGGCTGCGCCACTGGTCCGGACCGTCCGGACCCTCCCCACCCCTCCCCCCGTGATAGTGCGCGCCGTACAACGCTCGGCGTCGGGGGCCCCACCGGTCAGTACTGAGCGAGCGGCCGACCGGCGAGGAAGCGTCAGTGCGGAGCCGGGCGACGAGGCCGAGGCCACAGCACAGAGCGTGTCAGCGACGACAACGATCACAGCGCCACCAGCGACTGAGCGGCCAACGATTCCGTCACCGGCGGGAACCACCCTCGGAGCGCTGACTCATTCAGCGTCCGAGGCCAGCCATGGTGTAGCGGCGGCCCATAGTGGCGGGTCACCGGCGTCCGACAGCATGCCGCCGGGTCAGAAGGACGTCCAGCGGCGAGAGAACGACTACCAGCGGCTGATACAGGAGATAGCTCCGCTGCTGGAGAAAACTGATCGGAGCGTGCTACAGGCCGTGGCGCAGGAATTCACCGCCTGCACTCTGTCCGGTCGTCTCAGTGTCAAAGAGATGTTGGAGCAACTGGAGCGGACCGCTGTACTGTCGCCCAACGCGGTCAAAGTGCTTCAGACCGTGTGTGAAATCGTAGACTGTCGTGAGGGCAATCAGTTGGTGAGTGAGTACCTGAAGAAGTACCCGCCGTACAGCGGGCGCCGCACCCACTCCCACTCGGCACCGGCGGCGCTCTATCCAGGTGAGCACCGCGGCGCTGATAGTCAGCTTACCTCCAACAGCGACCAGTGGTTTAGCGCAGACTCGAACCCGACAAAGCATCGTGCAATTTCAGAACAACGGATTGGCGGGAGCGACCGCGAGGAAAGTGTCTGTAACCAGTATAGTTTTGTGGGGAGTGACTTGAAAGGCCCCTGGGACAGTGTGGGGGACCCGGAGGAGGTCAAAGTGCTGACCGATTACAGTGTGTCTTCTATCAGTGAGGATGTTCGGAGGACTAGCCCGTGGCAGAGATCGAGCACCAGTGGCAGTGTCAGATGGCCACCGCTTGAGTCGACACAGAGTTCAGAGTCGCCGGAGAGTCGCCAGCGGAGCATGGCACTCTGGGGCCACTCTGCAGCGGCACCAGCACCAGCGGCGTCACCAGCGTCACCAGCGGCGGCCCGACCAGCCACGTCTGCCGTCTGCGAGTGCCACCATCCGCCGCGAGTGCAACCTGCCTCGCCGCCGCGCCAGCGTCAACGGCTCTCTAAAACCGTGGATCAGGCCCTCGAGCTGAGGCCTGGCTCTTCAGCCGGCGGCAGTCGCAGCGGCGGCGCACCTGCCGTCATGAGAGGCGTGACGCCAGCCGGTGCGCGGCGCGCTCGGCTCGTCGACTTTCTGTCCAGCCGGCTGGGGCCGCGGTTCGTCGAGCTGGGCGAGCAGATGGAGCGCGTGAGTCGCGCAGAGCTGGCCGACATCTCCAGCGACACCAGCGCCGACATGGTGAGCCAGGCGCGCCGCCTGCTCGGCCTCTTCCTCAGCCGGCATCAGAGCTGCGACGGAGACGCCGAGATTCTCCTGGTGCGGCGACTTCGTCGCATCCGCTTCAACCGTCTGGCCGACGAGCTGGAGATCTGGAGCGCCGACCAAGACCGGTGGGAGGACCCGCGCGACTGGTCCGAGGACAAACGCCGGTGGAGGAGCTCGGAGAGCCACCAGCACCGTTCGCCAGTGAGGATACCGAGGGCGGCCTGCTGCTGAACAGGTCTCGCCGCATCCTGATCCGTCACGCGTATTTACAAATTGCAGCCGAGCTCCGCCGTGGGGTAAGGTGGGCAGGGGTTTTCGCACTACGGCTGCGGTTGAACTACCGTCTGTGGTAGAAACTTCAGGATGATGGCGCGTTTCATACGAAATCTGGCGCAATGTTTGTTTGCTTCTGAACTTGTATTGTTAATGCTGTGAATTCTTGAAGTGGGAGTGTTTCAATAACAATTTGTGGATTATTTGAGTTTCTTGATATAAAAATCGAATAATATTATGAAACATTGTGTGGAAACTGCAATAGGGTTGGGACCTATCTGCATGCTCTGTATGTTTTGGTAAAATAAAAAAGCTCAGAATTTTTAATGATTTAATTTAAAATCACTTTGTTAAAAAAATGCCTAGTTAGTTCAGAAATTAATTATTTGTGGCTGAAATCGACTTGCTTCTGATTGGTCGGGCTAATCATGACGTCACATGTAGGTATATAACTGTCTGTATATTTGGCGCAGTTGAGACATACATTTTCTATGTATTTTCCTATGGTAAATCGGAGTGATTGGTCGTGTTTTCAGTGTCTCTTTATTTTGCGCTGGTATTGCGTGGCTAAGAAGTTTTATCAAGAATGGCATATATTAAAATGTTCCATTAATAATGGAGCTTCAGTATCTGTGAGTTTTATTGGCAAGCAAAACTGATTTCGCTGTTATTTTATCTGGAAATTACTCATTTTTTTAGGTCAATATTCAAAATATTTTACGGGAACAAGTTGGCACTTTTCTTGATTTTTGCACTCAAATCGCGTGCGATTCAACTGTATTGGAACTTGCAAAGAAGCTTGGTGATTAATTAACTGTGTTGTTATGGCACTGTTTGCAAAGCATGGATAATAAAACTCTGCCAAAGACTTAGCTACATAGCAATGCCTCAAGTAATACGCAGGAGGGACAGAATTCAGAGTCCGATCGAGAAGAATCGGTGCAAATGCTACGAAGACCAGGCAGCTCTGATACAATAGCTAGTCGTCTCACTACTCTCACTCCATTAGACCAGCTGATTCCTGACAGCGCCGACTCGAATGCAAAGATGGAGCTCATCTTCCAAGCCAGAAACCAGTTCTTTGATGGAAGATGTGATGCTGCCTCTGTCTCTGCTTTGTTGGCCACTTTGGACGGGGCGGAGCTCCGCTCCTTGCGTGAGCGGTTATTCGCCTGTCATCCAGAAATAGTTCCTTCGTTTGCTGGCCGTTCCCTGATTAGGTGCAATACGGGGAGCTGTAATCAGGGAAGTAACTTTCCATATGAAAGGGGTGCAGGTGCACCCCCGTCCCCCATCCACTAGAAGTGCACCCCCATAGGCTAAGCGGCGCCCCACACGCCGCCCCACACGATTAGCTCTAGAGAAGATGGCGAGGGTGATTTCTCGGCTACATTCCATCTCGGCGTCGTGATGCTTGTGGGCTTGGAAAGCGTCCAGTCGTATGTAGGGTAGTGTAGGGGTAGGGTTGAGTTCAATAAGGTCCTTACATTTGAAAGGTTTGAACAACCCGCAATCAGCACAACATACCACAAGTTAAATAAAAAACTACCAAACTGCGCCCAACTAATATTAACCAGTAAAACGCCTTTTGGGCGAAGAACGAGCGAGCGAGATAGTGAGCCATGCACGTGCGGAAGGGCGAGAGGATGCTTCCAACGGGCTTGCGCAAAGCACCCTTCTAACCGGTCGCTAGCGGTGTGTCAAATTTGAACGCAATCGGCCCAGCCGTTCCTGAGATCTGGAAGCGGCATTCTGCACGTGCGCACGTGCAGACGGGGTCCAAAATGACTTTTGCACGGCACCCTACTAACTGGTCCCCAACCGTGTACCAAATTTGAGCGCAATCGGCCCAGCCGTTCTCGAGATCTGGAAACGCCCCCTGCACGTGCGCACGTGCAGTAGCACCCTAACCGCAACACATGGGAATGCATTGCCTGGTGGGTGCCTACCTGTATGCCAAGTTTCAGCGAAATCGCCCCAGTAATTACTGAGTTACTGAAATGGGAACAAATTTTGCACCTCTTATTGTTGTATTTTGCACGTGCACTGGGGGTGACCCACATGCATCGAGACTATCTTATTTTGGGTAGAAGGGATGCTGCTACCCTACAAAAATTACCGCAAGTCAATCGCCCAAGCGGCTGCTGAGATATGAGCCTCTCAAAATCACTACTTTAGCAAAACAGCTTGAACACCCTTGACTTTTCACGTGGCACGTGCCACGACGATCACTGAGATGTATCAAAAGTAGTCAATTACGGGGTAGAAGGGATGGGGCTACCCAACAAAAAAGACCGCAGGCCAATCGGTCCAGCGGTTGCTGAGATATAAGCCTCTCAAAAGCGTTACAGGCCGGGCCGGGCCGGGCCGGGCCGGGCCGCTCATACTGAGATTTTTCCGTTATATTGAAAAGACTCACTTCGCTCGCTGCGCTCGCTCGCTCGTAATAAACATTACAGCCAAACTAATGGCCTAAATAAAAATATATCTCAAATCCTAACAGTTATCGCTGGTGATGGCGCCATGAGTTGCTATTATCCAAAACAGATGCAAATAAACATGTTTGTATGTCCTATGTATGTTTGTTTTAAAAACGTTGCAGCGGCGCTGGGAACTGCAGTCTTAGATCTGGGTATGTTTGGCATCTGCAACTCTTCATATACACATTAACCCTATTTCGGACGGGGAGACCTTTCAGGATTTTCTTGTACAATTGCCAAACGCCGCGAGACATTCAGCTCATATTTGGTGACTTTTCCTAAATGCTCATTGCGCACATCTCAGCAAAAAAAAAAAAAAAAATGCCGGGTCAGGTAAGGTCAGGTAACCAGAGCGGGTTTGTTGACCCCACCTCAGAAAAGTTTGCAAACACGTCAGAGCTTGAGTTTTTCACGAAGTTATTTCCTCTCATCAAGTCTTCAAAACAGTACCTGCAGTATGTGTCGTTTGTATATCTCAGAATTTTTGATCTGTGACCTGAGGTTAGGTCAGAGTCGTGACCTTTACATTGCAAGCCTATGGAAAAGTATTGAAATGCGACCTGCACCTCGAGTAAACGAGTCAAAACCACCAAATTCTTTAAGAATTATGACAATTTATCTTATCTGTAATGATCCAGGTGCCATTTACTGACAGGGACACCGGAGAGGGTTATCTGAGCCGAGATCATGTGAGGTGATATCTACCATACATCAATGCTCACAATACTTACAATATTGACAATGCTTTTGCTTACAACACTTACAATACTTACGATGAGACCAGCAAGCACTCTGCCGTTACAGTTCTAACTTCTGTTTCGAAAAACGACGTTACACACATTCGCTGCCAGCATAACATGTATTGTTTGACAGTAACAAAATACAATTGACATCTGAACCCCAAACGGACCGCCATCCACTCAAATTTTATAACCCTGACCGGTCAGGGGGCGAATGGAGGTCATTTCCTGGGCATTACACTCAGCCTTTGCACAAAATATTTCACATCACAGTAATCATTACAACAATAGCACCGACTTGATAGTGGATTTCAAAGTACTTGCATCAGCTCTTCCTGCTATTGCAGACGATCATCTCCTCAGGGTAATGTTGTTCGGGACATGAACGAAGATCGTTTTCGGAGTTTCATAAGTGCTACTGCAGCAGCCTGGCACAAAACAGGACTTGTACGCTCTTCTCTGCACTTTGCCCTTCAGTACCTATATCACAAAAGAATTGTTTAGAATCCATCTTACGCTTCTTTCACAGTCTCCCTTGCCACCGTAGGGCGTAGATAGATTGCTGTTGCTGGTAAGTTAAGGCACGGTAGATAAAAATTACCTCGGTTCTCAACGCCTTAAGTTATTTTCATAAAAAAAGAACAAATAAATGATCAATAAGATGACAGGAATGTAAACATTTTAATCGTAAAGTAGCCCAAATATTGGAATGAGCTTTTGCTTTTCAGCATCCTCCGATTCATCATCTTTATCATTTGAAAATTCGAGGTACATAAAACGTTTATCACGCGCTCATGTTAAGTGGGAATATAGTACACGGCCGACACATCAATTTTTGACACTGAACATTTCATCCGTAAATGTTTTAACATAATTTAAAGTTAAAAACAGCGCGAATGGCAGAGTGAAGCAAACAACATATTTCACCCATTGATATAACATGTAATCTGTGGTGCGCCAGATGCGCCATTATTTGTCAACCGCAGGTGACATGTGACGTAACAGCATCAAGAGCATCTTTTTTCAAGAACTTTTCAAAACAAGTTTCCTATCTTTCTTCCCCCATTTCTCTCAGCTTATTGATTTTATGAGGCAATGGTATGCACCATAAATTCTGTGAAAATAGTTTGATCATTTTCATGCATTCTTAAAAAATCGAGTTCCCAACCCCATTACTGATATAATCAATTGCTTAGTTTGGAAATTGATACACATTTTGTAGAGGTTTGTCTGGCAAATGGTTAACAATCTACAAGCCTATCATGATCTGAAGCTGTCATAGTACCTTGTTGGAAAGACTGGAGCATGGTTTAAGATGCTGTGTAAAATTCAAGATTTGTGCAAAAGCTTATGACTGAAGAGCGAAAACAGTTCTATACGATGGCTCAATCAAATGTGGAAATGAACAGCAAAAGTAGAGTTTCAACATTCCAGCATGTGAGAATAAGTTCAGAACTTCATAGTTCTTGTAGTATTGCATTCTTCTTATGGACAGTTTTAGGTTTTGTTAGGGTATTTCAATTTCAATGTGTCAGTTGAGATATAGGTGGCCGTGGATTGCGGACAAAATTGAGAATCATTGCATGGTAGATAGGTACTTGTTCGGTAAAAAGGTATGTGATGAATGCCCCGAGAAGGTTTTTCATGATTTAATATATGGCCATTGTTGTACCTACAAAAATGCAAGCTTGCTATATAGCACCTAGCTTTTGAATCAAATCGAAAGTATTTGCTATGAAACTAAATATGTACCTGCAAAGTATGTCAATAAATTTGTGTGATGTTGACCAGAGAGCTGTTTATCATCTGGGCATTTATGTTGCTTCTTACATTAGGTGTTAAGCATAGTAATTATGGATGAACTTTGTGCCCATATCTTCAATGCACAGTGTATGTATAATGTAGCATGTCTACAACCCTCACTGATCCTGCTATAGCTATAGGCATTTGGCACCAGCAAGACCAAGGGCATGAACTTCACAGTTGCGCAACCCTTTGTCATGTAGGGGAGAGTGGGGCACATTCGTGCATGGGGCACATTCGTTTTCAGCAGTTTATGGGAACACGAGTGACTGCACGAGCTCAAGGTAAATTATGGAAATGCGTCTATCATTGCCGCACTTCGTTCACCGTAGAAGACAACACTGTACCTGCTGTCATGCTTGATAAAAACGCAAATTTGTAATATTCGTGAGCTTTCCAAACTTTTCTCACATCATCCATTTTCGTGATCCTGACTCGGAAATGTGGTTCAGCTTTTCAAAATTGGGGGCGAAGGTGCTCACTCTATTCACGGAACTGCTGCAAACTTGTTTGTTGACAAAGTGTCATTTTTTCAACAAGAAATTTTGAAATATATTACAAATAACGTTGTGGGGCAGGTTCGTGTACGCACTGCCTGGGGGCACATTCGTGCATTTTTTTTTTAGTTTTTGCTATTTATGACTTTATCTATAGTAGGTTTCACTAATGACGCTCGCCTGACTCAGTCTCGGCTGCTTGCGGCGTCGTGACGAGTAATTCACGCGAACTTGGCGAGGTCACGGAGGCCGGCAGTTGGCACATTCTTGTTGGCCAGCCCATTCTTTCTACATATGTTGTGCAATGCATTCTTGTCGAAAGGAATCAAGTGAAATGACCCCCTGCCAATTTCCTTTGGTAAATTTCTGGTAATGCCCGGTAATTTCTAGAACTTTGCAGGGTGCACGGAAGTGCCCCACCCCTTGCACGAATGTGCCCCATAGGTGGGGCAGTTTCGTGCAAACGTTCAGAGTTATTAAAAGTCATTTTTTCTAATAGAAGCAATAATTTTAGAGGATAACTTTTAAAGAGGAAAAATATCTGCAATAGTTCCTTTCCATACCACAATCAACAATTTTGCCGTTGCACTAACCAAAGAACAGATATATGGATTTATCCATTTTTTGCACGAATGTGCCCCACTCTCCCCTACCACCAGTTACTTTTTTCCTTAAGGTGCACATAACAGTGTACACAATAATGCGCAGAGGGCCTACACAAAAACAACATGATTATTGTGCACTATGATGCACAGCATTGTACCCTGATTATTTGAATATTCTGATCACTCAAGTCAGGAGACCATTTTTGAATGCCTCATTTATTATACATCACTTGTCATACAAGAGCATGATGACACACATTTGGACAAATAACAAGCAATCATGGTAATATTCCAATAAGTTGGACACCTCCCTGGGCATCATTTTTCAGGAAGGTACCTCTGCAGGTGTTGTAGTAGGTTAGGTTGAATTGGGTTTAAGTTAGGTAAAGTAAGGCGGTTAGGACCAGGTCAGACTGTAAGGCCTGGTCAGGCTGATTTTAATCTTTCATTCTAATTTGACATAGATACCTATTACCTATGTTTTTGCTCCAGACTGAACTTCATTAGGTGGTGAGTTCAATTTGTTTTGTTTTTTATCTGTCATGTTTTGTGTTTTTTGTCCCTTATGTTTTGCCCCATAGGCAAGGGTGAGCTTTTCCAGGGAAGGTGGTGGGGCAAAAAGCCGTCAAACCTGCAATGCTCGGTTGTTAAGTTAGATTATGTGCAACACTGAATCAATTCTTTTAATTACCGAACTAACATTTTGAATTAGGTACACACTACACAGACATTTCAAAGCTCCTCAAAGCGAACAACATAGTGGTTTGCTAAGCAACGAAGTTCTACAAATAAGCAAAAGTTGGAGGGGCAGAACGCTATTTTTTCTCTGACAGCTTCGTAACATGCCACGAAGGCACCAAAACTACTTCAGTACAGGGTGTAACGAAATTATCCGGACATCTATTTTTTCGCCATATCTGTATGCACAGTTTCCTAATCCTTTCTGATGTTAGAAGTGGGAATATTGGATGAATACGTGCCTCTGCTATCGGTTTTCAACTCAGCAGTGACCTGACCTTGTCATGTGACTGTTGCTCTGAGTAGGAGTCGATTCACAGATGGGTTCACATAGTAGTTTTCGTCCAAGGCAGTTGCGAGAAAGGGATACAATCTCTCCTTTCGTGGTAAAATTGCATGGCGGCATCCACGGCGTCATGAGCCAGAAACTGGCCTGCCAGCAGCTGGACATCAGCAGCAGCCAATTGCACATCTGCCTGAGGCGTAATAAGCTGGGACTTCGGTGGCAGACTCAGCCCGGTCGCGACCACAAAAGCCGCCCTTTGTCAAGTGGTGAGGAGAGTCATCAAGATAGCGGCAAGGAAACGGCACCAATCAATCCGCAAATTGACTCGAATTCTTACCAAGTCAGATAATAAGAGATCCCATATCATGGTTTACCGCTACCCGCCCTTAAACTTGGTTCTAGTGCCCTTCAAACTGAAAAAGACAACGAAACTGACGGGAAAACAACCAGTTCACCACCTTTCGCCTCACGCCAGATCGCGTCCACTGGTTGAAGAAAGATAAGGTGAGGTGGTCTGGTTGGATGGGTAGCCGTTCGAGCTGTATTATCCTTTGGAACCGTCAAATCGGTCATGTATGGGCGGCCAGCCGCTCGAACTTGCTGGCCTTCGCCGCCGTCAAACATCCGGACAATATCCAGAACTGGAGCATGTTCAGCTGCCTAGCGATGTTCCAATAGGACATAGTGCCACATAATACCGCCATCAACGTCAAGTATTACCGGAGCAACATACTGGCCAATGAATGGTTGGAAGCGCTCAACCAGACGGTATAGGAGGGCTCGGTTTCTGAACGCGCACTGATGCCTGATTCAAGCCACGCTGTCTTCATGCGGGGCGGGGCGCGGGAACTTCTTCCAGACTGGGGGGGCTGAACCATCATAGAGATCAACCTAGGGTACCCCCAAATCTAGTTTTCTCATCGGTTTTAGGCCACTTATTTTTCAGACCTTGGCCTTTTCAACGAAAAAAAAAGAAGAAAATATTTGCAAAAAAGTGAGGCATTCCGTCTCAGCTGAGTGAAGAAACTACCGTTTTGGCAACCTGGAATAAAGGTTTTAAGCTGCCAAATGAGTTGCCGAGTCAGTAAAATAGGTAGATTTTTCACTTACATGCTTTCTTTCTTTGTGACTCACAACCCCTAATTTGGGGAGGACAAGCTGCCCCAACGGTTCCTGGCCTCATGAAAATGTAGTAAACTCCTTATGTCCACATTGCCGTTGTATTGCCAGCTGCCTCCGTCGCGCGCCGGCCCAGACTGGCCGGGGGTCGTACGTGACCCACCTTTTATTCAACAGGCTACGAAACGTCTAGAACACGCCCAAGACGAGTGCGAACTTGCACAGCAGCGACGAGGTGACGGAAGGCGCCAGCTTGGCGGCCTACGTGCCTTAAATGACATATCTTAAATTTACAATTGCGCTGCGCGTGCCGCCGGCCGTCTCCTCCCGGCCCCGCCCCGCACAATGCCATATAACTCATCCCGAGCCTGGACGGGGCGGCGGCGGCGCCGCAGTGGCTCGGGGGCCACAAGATTCTAATACACTCCCCCCTGATCTACAAATCATCGTACTGGGTCAGAACGGCAGGGCGTCTCTCCCGCATGCCGCGGCGTAGAACTTCAGCGTACGTCACAGGGGGCACATTTTCCCCGTGGCTTTCGTGCGCACACTCTCGCAAGATAATTGGGCCAGAGTCGTCATTGTCATTGTTCGGCGGCTCAGTCTGGCCACTCTCCGGACTGGGAACGAAAGCCAGTCTCAGATCTCTCACGTGACGGGGGACATTGTCTACTTCCACACACTGCGCCGACACTTGTCGGGTGACTGTTCCTATGGAACTTGGCACATCACACCGGCGACTAGGGTCTCTGATCCATACCTTATCGCCTACACTGAACGTAGCACACTCACTCTCTTCGCACTTTTCCTCACTCTCCACGTCCGGCACTCTCAGTTTGTAGTTGAACAGTACGTTGGCAGGACTAGAGTTCAGGTCATCACTGCGCGGCATCACATTATAGCGGTAGACTGCTTCCGCCACTGAGCAGCCTTTGCGCGCTACGATTGTTTTGACCGACCTATGGTTTCTCTCAGAGACACCATTGCCGAACGGCGCATGGGCAGCTCGGTACCGGACGCTGATACCCCACCGGCTGACGAACTCGTGGAATGCGGCACTGCGGAATGAGGTGAAGTTGTCCGTCAGCAGCTCCCTCGGAGCGCCGCGCTCCAGGAATACCGACTCCAGAGCGGTGATGATGCTGTCGGTGTCCTGTCGCTTTAACCGCCGCCAGATCGCGTACCGAGACGGACCGCAGTCAATCAGAGTCAGGTACAGCCAGCGGCGTATTTAGAAAATCGCGAAGGGGGGGGGCAAGGGTTTGGAGGGCGCCACCTCACCCAAGGAGGGCGCCATACGGTCGCGAGATAAAAAATCGCTCAGTGGGGGTTGGGGGGTTGGGAGGCGTTTTTTACCATGCCACCAGTTTTTTTTTTTGCGTAACCTCGTATAGGTCGTGCTGCATTGATTTTGCATCGTGTGTATTCATTATACTCCAGGTCACAAAAGGTCAAGTGTTCTTGAAATGCTGCGCCGAAGGCGCGCGAAATTTTTGAAAACAACCTTTTCCTCCGCTTTTTAGGCACGCCTTTTATACGATCACTGTTCAAAGCTCCTCTCGCTCTTTTACCAAATTTGAAGGTGTAAAAAATACCTAAGGTTTGGTCGGGCCGCTGCCACACAAACTGTACAGAAAGCTTGGCTCATGGGTGTCGATGTATAAAAGTTTATTGGCGGTGGCATATCTACGCACCAGATCACCGTATCGGATTGATACCGGAGCGCGAGATGCGTAAACATCATCCAAATTACCTCAGACCAGCCTTCATAGCCTTCTCACAGATGCATACAGTGTACCCACATAACCAGTTTCAATCGCCGAAACTTCAGATGCCTGCTGTTGCGCCCGAACCTGTTGACAATACTTAATCGTAATCCATATAGATGCCATGATGCACGTAAAGTAGGATCAATCCGTTAGGACCAAAGACGTGTTTTATGCATCGTAGAGCGTAGATAGTTTTGGTAGGTATAGATACTTCATTCATTGTGCTGAATGCACGTTCATTTGTGGCAGTTTTCACAGGCAAGACATCAACTATGTGCAATAGAACGACTAAGTTGAAAAACATGCCAAAGGAGTAAATAAATGATAGGAGGGCAGCGATCAACGGATGTTGCCAATAGGTAGAAGGGCTGCGATCCACAGGAGGGCACTAATAGGTAGAAGAGCCCCGATCAACATCCCGAGTTTCGACAGTAGGGCACCGATAGGTAGGAAGTTGGCGAGCAGCAGGAGGGCGCCAATGGATAGAAGGGCAGCGATCAACAGGAGGGCACCAATAGGTAGGAGGGCGCCGATCAACAATCAACAGGAGGGCGCCACCAGGTAAGAGGGTGGCGAGGAACAGGAGAGCACCAATAGGAGGGTGGCGATCAACAAGAGGTCGCCAATAGGTGGGAGGGCGGTCATCAACTGGAAGTCGCCAATGAGCGGAAGGGTGACGATTAAAATGGGGGTGGCAATGGTGAGGAGGGCGCCTTTGCTCAAGAGGATGACACGAACAGGAGGGCGTCTGTGCGGAGGGCGCTGGTCAACAGGAAGGTGCCAGTGGATAGGAGGGCGGTGATCAACAGGAGGGTGCCAGTGGTTAGGAGGGCGGCGATCTACACGAGGGCGCCAATAGGAGAAGGGCCCCGATTAACATTCAACAGGAAGGACTAGGGAACCAATAGGTAGGAGGGCGGCACTGAACAAGAGGGTGCCAAAAGGGAGAAAGGCGGCCTTCAAAATTTCACATGAGGGCTCAATAGGTAGGAGAGCGCCAATAATTATGAGGACGCCGATCAGCAGAAGGGCGGCAATGTGTAGCAGGGTGGCGACCTACAGGAGGGCGCCTTCGGGTGAGAGGGCGCTTATTTACAGGACAGCGGCTTACATAGGCGACCACCGTTACGCTTAGAGAGCTACAGCCTACAAATGTGGTTGGAGGGCGCCCGAGGGAGCCCTCCAACCGTATTTGGAGGGCGTATTTGGAATGGGCGTCCTCCGAGGGCGCCCTCCATCCGTATTTTCCCTGTAAACACATTCGCGATTGGAGGGCGCCCTCCAGTCGCGATTGTTTTTCGATTCGATTATATCACAATTGCATTTGCGATTGGAGGGCGCCTTCGGCGCCCTCCAATCGCAAAGGGCGCCTTCGGCGCCCAAGGGGGGGGGCCATGGCCCAGTGGCCCCCCCCTGCCTACGCCCCTGGGTACAGCTGATCGCTTACGTGACAGACGTCCATGCTGATCCTGTCCCAGCATTTAGTCACGCTCAGCGAACCATGTGTCCACCGCTGGGGCGCTGGATCGATGGACTGGCACCTTTCGCACTGGCTAACGACACTGCGCACCTGGTGCCTGCTCACAGCCGGGTCGTGCTCCCTACACAGGCGCAGCGTTCTCCCGATGCCTGGGTGTCCGCTTGTTTCATGGATCCTGACCACATCCGGCGCCGAGAAGGCAGCGCCGCAGACCTCAGGATCGCTTTGTTGGTTCAGCCACTTCTTCGGCACTCTCGTCAGTGCGTCAGCCCTGTTGTCCACTGACGGAACGCACTTCACGGTCAGCTGGAGGCCGTACTCATCTCTCAGACTCTTCACGGTCTCCAGGCGCCTTCTAATCAGCATTTCACTCGCCGCCTTCGTCTTTATCCGAGCTCTGCCGGAGAGCGCATCTGTTAGCCAGTGATAGACCGTTTTCGAGTCCGTCACGACAGTCACTTTCTTCAGGTTCCATGCCAGGGACAGATTGATGCCACGCACAACAGAGTCCAGTTCTGCAAGGTTCACGTGTGTCTCGGGATTTTTCCGAAGCCAGCAGGCGTCCTCAACGATGCTGCCTTCCATCTCCAGCACGGCTCCTATGGCGAGGGAGCTGGCATCCACCCACACGACTCCCTCATCGCCGGTGACATCCCAGCGACCTCGTGCGGGATCGGCCGTTTTCACGCGCTGCAGCGTTTCCATGACCATTTTCTGGAGTTCTGGGTCGGTGATCTCGTCATCCCAGCCGTCTGTCGCTGCAGTGGCGCGTCTTTTCAGGTAGGATGCGGAGACACGCAGCCAGCCACACACCGGGACCTGACTTGTCAGACGTCCGCACAGCGAGAAGACCTCTCTCCTCGTCAGCTTTGGCGGCGGCTGTAGATCCTGGTTGTCCCGCTTCCAGAACAGTCCTTGCCGCTCCCCCCAGACTCGAATGCCCAGGACACGAGCACCTTCTGACACCTTCTCCGGGGATTTGCAGGTCAGACCGAGCGCCTCCAAATGACCCTTCACCTCTAATGCAGTAGCGATGTTTTCATTTACGAGTATGTCGTCCACGTAAGGTGATGTAGCGGTGTGCACCCTCGGGTCACGTTTCAGGGCCATTTCCAGCACCTTTCTCATCACCATCGGTGCGAGACTGAGCCCAAAGCCAAGTCTGCTCAGACACCACCGTCTGCCCTGGAACACTACAGTCTGATACGGCCACAGCGATGCGTGCACGTGGATCTGCAGGTAAGCGTCTCGCAGATCTAGGAGAGACACGTTTCGTCCACACCGACGCCACTCACGGATTTTTTCACTGCAAACATCCGCGTCAGCTGTATGCGGGTCCAGGTGCGTATTTAACTCCCTGAAATCCATGACGGGACGCACTTTGTCCTTCTTCGGTTGGATGACCGCCATGAGCGGGATCGTACCTTTGACCCTCCCGTGCACGCTCTCATCATAAGGGACGAGCCATTGATTCGCCACCCACTTGGAGAGTTCTCGCTCGTATTCGTGTCGGGCTTCTGTTGGAATCGCGTACTCCTCTGCTGTATTGTGCAGCTGCTCGGGCTCCTTTCCTCCACACCATTTCCACTCCACCGACCACTTCTTTTCTGTCTCATCAAAGCTCACCACAAAGTCCTTCTCGTCGGCTCGATTAGCCGGTGCGGCCGCCGCCGACGCACCCAACACCGGATCCCCCTTACTGCTGTCAGCTCGATTCACTGCTGCAGCTGCCGCCGCTGCACCTGACGCTGGGGCCGCCTCACTGCTCGCCTGATCATGACTCACCCGTGCAGTCGCTGCCACTGCACGCGACACCCCAGTCCTCTCACCATCACAGCTGACCCGGTCACCGGGTGAGGCCACTGACGCCGCTATATGAGACACCGCTGCCTCAACTCCGAATCTGACTCGGTCATCCGAACTCACTGTAGCGCCACCCAGTGCTCTGATACCATTCATCCCGATGATGAACTCAAACCCCAGTGGCTTACGTGCTACGACGAGCACATCTACGAACACTGATTCACCAGACCGCAGCTGCACGCGTGCCACGCCTGACCCCTCACACCAATAACGCCCTCCACTCACTGTCATCACGCTCACCGGACGTCGGTTCCACCTCCGACAAACTGACACGTGAGCTACACACTGGCTGCATCCTGTATCAACCAGCGCTTTGCAGCTCGCTCCGTCCACCGACAGCTGCGCGACTGGCAGCGCCCCGTTCACTGGTCGACAGGAGAGGAGGCTGGCGCTGATCTCTCCCCTCCCGCGTCGTTTTCCGGACATACAGAGGCGATGTGCCCCTGCCGGTTGCAGTTGTAGCACCTCACGAGGCTCCGTCCACCACGGGGGCCTCCACGGCCCCGCTGTCCGCGGCCTGCCGTGCAGTCGCGGGCGATATGGTTCGGTTGCCCGCACGAATAGCATTTCATTGTGGCCGGGAGTGCTCCAGTCCTTGTGCCAGCGGCGGCGGCCGCGGTGTTTGTTTCCTCGTCGGCTAGCACGGCCCGAGCGCGACCGATTAGCTGGCTAAACGGCATGTCCTCCATCCGTGATCCAGCCCGGAGCGCACGGCGTGCTGAATCTGGCAGTTTGGCCACGAAGGCACAGGCCAGGCTGTCGTCCGGCATACCTCCGAACAAGCCAGCCAGCCGGCGCAGCTCAGAGACGAACACGTCCACCGTCTCACCTGGACGCAGCCTTCTACGTTCAAATTGGTCGTAGGCTTCAAACCGATCCGAAGCAAACGCCGATGTCAGGGCCCTTTTGATGTCCTCGTACTTTTTCTTCTCATCTTCTCCGAGCTGTTGATATACCGCAAACGCACCACCAGTGAGTCTCAGCGGGACGACGACGTGCAGTCCCTTGATGCCGCGCAGCTGACACACAAGTTCGACCTTGTCCAGCCACTCGCACACGGGCTGCGACACACCGTCAAACTCCGGGATTAAGCGGAGATCAGCCGCAGCGTCCGAACCATCACAGGTCTCCTTCTCGTTCCCCATCACATCAGTCTTCCAAGGCCGAAATAGCTTGTAGTAAACTCCTTATGTCCACATTGCCGTTGTATTGCCAGCTGCCTCCGTCGCGCGCCGGCCCAGACTGGCCGGGGGTCGTACGTGACCCACCTTTTATTCAACAGGCTACGAAACGTCTAGAACACGCCCAAGACGAGTGCGAACTTGCACAGCAGCGACGAGGTGACGGAAGGCGCCAGCTTGGCGGCCTACGTGCCTTAAATGACATATCTTAAATTTACAATTGCGCTGCGCGTGCCGCCGGCCGTCTCCTCCCGGCCCCGCCCCGCACAATGCCATATAACTCATCCCGAGCCTGGACGGGGCGGCGGCGGCGCCGCAGTGGCTCGGGGGCCACAAGATTCTAATACAGAAAAGTTGTGAGGCACCGCCCCCACGGCCCCAGAGTTGTGAGGGCAAGCTTCCCCCACTGCCTTCTCCCCCGGTTCCCGCGCCTATGTATGAATCTATGAAATTGTGTTGGTAGATTTCCGATTTCGATTCCTCCAGCTGGGGGGGGGGGGCTCAAATACATTACGAGCCCCCCCCCCCCCAGCCGAAAAGTTGGAGGGGCTCAGCCCCCCCTAACCCCCCGGTTCCCGCGCCACTGGGCGGGGCGCTACTTAACCCGCGCCCCGTAGGGGGGGGGGCCGAAACGGCCCCTCCCTGTCCTTTTCGGTCGATATCTCCTAAACGGCTAGAGATATCGCCACCAAACTTTCAGGACCCCTCCGGGCATCAATTTTACACATTGTGACCAAAAATTTTTCCAGAGGCTATGATAGGTTGGCCACAAATGACGTCAGAGTGACGTCATGTTCTGTCATTTTCGACCGAAAAAAGACCTTCGCGAGAAGACCTGTCAGGACTACAGCTTTGAAGATACAGAAAAATGATCAAGACATAAAAGGTGTAGAATTGACAGGGCTACAAAACTGCTATCTCGAATTTTTGAAATTTTTGAGTTTTGACCCCCAAAAATCAAAAAAGCATTTTTTTGGATATATTCGCCAAAAAATCCAAAAAGTTTTTTGAGTTTCGAAAAAACCGGAATATATGTGATAGTGCCTACCGTCTTCTATCTACATACCAAATTTCAGATCGATACCTCGTTTTTTGGCCAAGTTATAGCGAAAAAACTGTCCAAAAATGATGACGTCAAATTTTCAAACTCAATTTTTGGCAATTCTAGAACTCGTAGAGCAAAACGAAGACCACCATTAGACTCCCCGTGACGAGCTGCATCGAATCGATACCCATTTTATGCAAAAATATCAACTTTGAAATTTGACCTAATTTGACCTGACCTTGACCTGACCTTCACAAAAACGTGACCTAGGCTGGCCCCAAAGGCTGCCTAACCCACATAATCGCATTTGTCATGTAAAATGGACCATAAAACATGTATCACACGACACATTCATATTGTGACCCCCGGTGACCTGACCTCGCTGTGACCTGACCTGGTATCAGTGACCTCAGATAGCAAAGTATGTGTTTGACGAACAATGTACCATCGATGGTTTTCAATAAATTACCAATTTACTCGCTTTCACAGCACATTTCTTGAATTGCCTGTGAACGGTGAAAATCTGACCTTTGACCTGACCTGTGACGTCATCGGTTTGACCTAGGTCAATGAAATTTGGTCACAAGGTAGTTCCCGGGTGGGGCTATCGAACGCCGTTTGAATTTTGAAAATCGGCCGGTAACTTTCCGAGATCTTAGGGGGGGGCCGAAACGGCCCCCCCCCCCCCCCTACGGGTGGTAGGGTCCGCCGGTAGCCCTACGGGGCGCGGGTTAAAAGTCCCTAAAAGAACGGGAAGTGATGCCGATAGAACCTTCAATAATTCTGGGCTAACGCGCATGACTTGGAAAAAGTCGCGATCCCAATTCAATTGAAAACCTGTGGGCTCTTGTTCAGCAGGTGACTGAAGAGACGCCCGCCACAAGCACCGCCCAACCGCAAGCACAGGTTTAGACGGCGTTGGTCCGCATCAAAGCCAGTGTGCTGGAGAATTCGGTGGCTGAAATACTCCAGAACATTCGCCACTGTGTTTTTATGAAAGGTAGCTACATGCTCAGTTAAAAGAAAGAGTACCAGAATGTTTTGCTTTTTAATTACAGCGGAAAGAAAGGTGTCCGGATGATTTCGTTACACCCCCTGTAATGTTCAAATGGTTGCTAAATTCGAAATCAGCTCCAAAAACTAGCCTAGAAACATGTAAAACTCGAAAAAGTGAACCGAGGTCATCAAAGGTCATTGAGCTGACCTGACCTTCAGGTGACCTTGACACCAACCCTAATGCATAGGACCAGCATCATATCACATGTTTCAACGCTTGAAACCACGTAAAGACTGCAAATGCGCGGTTAATGCGAGCCGACATACGCCGAATCGCGATTCGGGCCAAACATGGTCTCGAGAAATAGGTCACAGGTCAAAGGTCATTTGGGTCAGGATCATGAAATTTTCAGGATAGGTGTAAAATTGATGAAATCGGGAGTATTGAAAGTTTCGTCGCGATCGGACGGTTTTTACGCGAGTTACTCACGATAAACCGATGGGGTCCGTTCAACGCCTCCCCTATACGGGCGAGGGAAAAGCGCAACCAAAAAGGCAAAAATATGCACATGCGATAACCTATACTGCGAAAAAAAGGTGCATCATTTTTGAACGTCGCCGACAAATTGTAATTATCCCAAGCTCAGGCAGATGTATGCTAGAAAATACCCCAAGTGAAATACACTACGGCGGAAAATAAATAAAATACCCTACGGCGGAGCTCGGTTGCAATTTGTAAATACGCATCCGTCACACAACCCGCCAGCACAACAAGGAAGGAAGATGAAAGGATTGCTCCACAGACAATCTGACGGAGGACGATTGGACGCTTTGTGACCGAATGAGACGGAATCTGGTAGCAGGAGCTGACAAGTGACAACAGAAAGCTGGTGCAAGATTGAGATGATAAGTGCTGGAAACGTGAGCGACTGGCACTATATCTGTTGTACCTTGCTCGTGGTAATGATTGCCAATAGTGTTGTTTTATAGAAGTTATTGTCACAGGGGCATACAGGGGTATAAGTTATTGCACAGGGGCAATATTCTCACGTCACCCCTCGCGCGTTCATGTGAGTGATTCCATTAAATGATGATGAGCGACTTCCATGTTTCAGAGAGACCTTGTTCCGCTCTAACTAAGCGATAGCATAGCGCACAATATCGCCATTCGTCAAATAAGCCATAAAAAGAGTACCGTGCTACCTACTTGCGATCTTTAATGCTTGAAGTTTCTTATGAAGAGTGCGGAAAAACGGCAAAAGTCGTATTGCAACTGATCAAGAGAACGGTCAAGCAAAACGAAACCATTTCCTGCACTTCACGTTTACTGCTTGCACATGCAAAACAAAAAAGATTTTAGCAAGATCTCAGTTAAGATACCAAGAAATATCGCAGCTAAAAAAAAAAAATGCGGACGCTCGGTTCCATTTACGGCTGTAGAGTTGTTGGTTAAAAGCTTCGAGAGGAGCCCAAAGGCCAAAATAAGTACAGCTCGCATGGACGCTGTCGTCCAAGTGTTCACCTCCAAGGGTTCTCTGCTGATGGTAGTCCGTCATTAGCTCCCAGGCGTTTATCTTAACATGCCGAGCGATCCAAAATGCAAACACATTTCATAAACAAGTGCGCTGTCCGCTGATACCGCGAGCCCCTCAACACCAAGTCAGTCGATGCACAGCGAACACTGCTCTAATCCCCGTGGGGCGTGGACATTGCACTGCATTGTAAAACGCAAGATATCCACACGAATCTGGCTCTCAATGTTTATTGTCATACGACACGTATTGATATTGGTATAAGACACAATATGGCAAATCACAGCGCACGTGGCGCATGCCTCAACAACAAGCACGCCCGGAAATGCCTGTTCTGATATTTATAAATAGCACGGTGTTGCTCAGGGTATATAGAACAACGGGTACACCAACGACGCGGAAAGCGCCCATTTAACCTAGATGAGTTACATGGAAGGTGATATATTTTTTGAATATGGAATAAATAGAGTATTCTATTCTGACGAGTAAAGCCTAATTCATAAAGCAGTTATTTTTAAATTATATGAACCAGAAATAACATACTAACCATAGTTTAAAACTTAGCATAAAGTTAGTTGAAAAGCCTATAGTTGATACTAAGATGGAAGGAATCTATGGAAGGCGGAAATGGCGCAGCTGTTTCATTCTTTAAATGTGTTCGCAAGCAGGATTCACGTGATGCTAGCGACATCTATTAATGTAATCAGGGACGCTCATTGGCTGATCGCGTCCGTGAGCAGTATCGCTAACTGACGCCAGTACAGGGTTGAGGCAATGTGCGCATGCGCAGGAACTAGTGCTCTCATGAAGGGGCTTTTGGTACAGGGACCCGCAGTTGCTACTGTACACATATATTACCAATTTAGAATTGCGCTATTATTTGCTAAGTGCTGGCCATTGGAGAAATGAAATGTAGCGCAAAGTATGGAGGAATAACACATGTTTGCTCCTAGGACGTTTGTTTTGTATAATTCCTCTTACCGCAACAGATATTCTTCCAAAACTACAATCGTGCTATTTTTCCGCGCCGGTTGCCTCCCCAGAGCCCGTCCTTGGTATCGCCTATAGCTTCCGTTCCCGCTACGTGAATGAAAGTCACGTGACTACTACAGGTTTGCGCTCAGTACTAACACACCTAGCCCGAGGGCCGGTCCGTAGCGGGGAGGGGTAGAACGCCAGAGCTCCAGCGCAGTGGAGGTGGTGGTGGCCCGTATCATAAAGAGGCAACCGTAAGCAGAACTACAATTGCCGCAGTATAAGATTATGATCAAGTTTTCTTTAGATGTATTGATTGACAAGAAAGTGCAATGCTTATCCGATATAATAAAACGGTGTCCAAGGCCTTGGAAGAACTATAAAACATATTCAGCAACGTATAAATTTATGATACAGGCCATGACCTTTCACCTTGCCTCCGGGGAGGACCGCTCAGGAAGCCACATACCGATCGAATCGAGGCCTCGCAGCGCGGCGGCAGAGGAGAGTGGATAAACCATCGCCAGATCTTTCGTTTACTTATGTTTCCAGAAGAAGGGGGGTGGAGGGTGAGGGCTGTTTTCAACCCACTCACCAATCCTTTCCTTTTTTTAACTTATAGCTTACAGAAAAATGCAACACAATGGTGGCCGTCACGAGATGTAGCGAAGAGTGCCTCAGCCACACCGGCTTTGAGTAAACTTTAAGCATTGGAATTCAGGCCAGTGATCCTGAAGCGATATCTTTTTTTTGGTCGTGCATAAGCTGGGATGACGTCGTCCAAGTTAATTGCGAAGAAACGGTTTTAGTTTCAGAACATTTATGAGGCTAGTCGCGCCAAATAGTATACGTTTGTTGCAAAATGTCAAATAGTGATACCACAGAGTTGACGTGCTATCCAGATGATGGAATTTATTTGACACAAGAAGTCAACAAGTGGCATCGTTAGTCATCCTGCATACCTATAAATCGATTCTTCACCTTGGTTCGAGCTCAATAGTTCTTTTCGCGGATGATCGGTTTCGTTTTCTTTCCTTTTTTGGGGGGAGGGGGGCGGGGGCAGTTAATGAGCCAGTAGCCACCCTCCCCAGTCCCCTAAACAACAATTGTTGACAAATACTGTGATGGCCTAAAAAAATGCCCTCAATTGTGTCACGTAGGGGAGAATGAGGTAAGTTGAGCCGTTTTTTCGTAAGCTACAGGCTAACTTACTGATCATTTTTTCTGCGTTTACGGGTTGGACGGACTTTTGGACGGACTTTTGGTCATTTGCGCATGTAATGGTGGCCAGAAATGTTTCATACCGCTTATTTTTGTACTGAAAGGCTGCGTCAAAAATCATCTTGCACGTTGCTCATCTTACCCCATGGGCGGGGTAAGTTGAGACACGTCGTGGGGAAAGTTGAGCATGGATAGAAAAAGCGAACCTCTTCTTTTCCCGGGCGCGGCGAAGAGTGGGCTCTTTTATTTACTCCATGGCATACATACTTATGGCAACGTTTTTTCCTCCATCAAAAAGTAACTGTTTGAAGCCTTCCAATAACTCGTCAAGTTTTCTATCAAGGAAGAAATCATAATATCCTTCAGATAATCTGCAAATCACTTACAACTTGTGTAATCAACAAAGAAAAAAACAATTTCCTACCATTTTTATTCAGCAGAAACAAGCGCAGCTCAGTTTGGTTTTCGACAGCGGAGACAACAATGGCTTATCCGGCTCATCTTACCCCAGGTGAAAATGGCTCATCTTACCCCACCCGTGGTCATTTTCGATTAATGGCTGACACCTGCTAAGGAAAATAACCATGCACCGCAGATAACAACCATCTCATTTTAAAGGCAAAACATGTCTTAGTTATTAGGGGTGTCACCGACGAAAGTGTTCGGACCAGCCCGCGCTACCGCTGTGCCGCCGTGATAGCCGGCCGGCCGCCGTGCCACCGCGGCGCCGCCGCCGCTCGCTGCAGCCGTCCCGCCGCCGCACCGCCGTCACCCCGTCCAGACTCAGGATGAGTTGTGAGGCATTGTGCAGGGCGGGGCCGCGAGCAGACGCGGCCGGCGGTCGGTACGCGTGCCGCCGACGCTGCCGAGCCGCAGCAGCGCCGCAGCCGCCACCGAGACCGAGATATAAATTAAAGACACGTCGTTTTAAGGCACGCAGGCCGCCAAGCTGGCGCCTTCAGCCACCTCCCCGCTGCAGTGCAAGTTTGCACTCGTTTTGCACACGTCTTAAGCATTGCGTATAAAATGTGGGTCACGTACGACCCCGGCAGAGTCTCACTTCGACCGTCGCGCTGTGCGCACGGACTGATCTGCCCCGCTCGACGCCTCGCCCGGCTGAGCGGGGACAGAGTACAGAAGCACGCGCGCAGACCGACTCTCCTGCGCGCAGCCGCGCCCGGCGGGGCAGTGTCAGTGCTTCAGATTGTACAGCGAAAGTGAATTGTGCTCCGTGTCTGCGTGTTTCATCTACCGGTTTTCTTCACAACTGCTTCCGCTTCTTGCTTCGCGTATACTTCAATAAATCCTCTACGGGAAATCTTCACGTCTATCTACTACTGAAAATCGCCGAATATCAAAAACCCAGGAGCTCACATAGCAGGCGGGCGGGCTACGAATGTCGCACAAACTCACCGAATAAAATACAGTCCACATCCAACCAGAAAAGAACTCCGAACGACAGTTTGTCGGCGACATTTGCTGGTCCTCCGGGCCGGATCCTGAACTATGGCAAGTGGAGAAGCAAGCCCGTCTCTAGAGCGAATGGGTGAAAGTGACAAAGAAGAAACCGCTGACATGGAAGAAGTACCAGCTGAACCAGCCGCTGCAGGTCAAGGACAAGCTGCAGTGACTACAGCCCGAGAAGAACCACGAGAAGGCCAATGCTCCAACGGGGAGTGGCGGCACCTCAGACAGGTGAGAGGTCGTCATCGGGCGGCTCTCACAAGGATTTTCCGGCGCGCTGAAGCTCTCGTGACAGATAGAGCCTCACACGTCCAGTTTGGAAATATCCGCAGAGAAATGGACAGCGCTTTCCAAGCGTTGATGGCCGTTCACGAATGTATCTCTGGATACACGCAGAGTGAGGAAGAAAAAGAAAATGAGGCTCAGTACTTAAGCGAAGTTCGTACGGAGAAAGAGAGAATCGAGGAGAAAATCGAGACTTTCATGACAAGCACCACAGACGAACTACAGCTGACCTCTACGAGACAGACTGACTTCAGCAAGGATGGAGGAGGGCAACCTGAAGACGGCTTGGGACGCTCAGTGTCACGCATGACCCGCAGCGTCGCTCGCCGAGCAAGGTCACAGGTCAGTGGCAGCTCGGCGGCCTCTCATGCATCAGCTGAAGCCAGGATATCATCCAAACTGAAGGAGTTGCGCGTGCGCCAGCTGGAGCGAGAAAGGACACAACTGACTCGAGAACAAGAACTGCGCGAACAAGAACAAAGGATAAGGCAACAAGAACAAGAACTGCGCGAACAAGAACAAAAGATAAGGCAACAAGAACAAGAACTGCAATACGAGAGAGACCTTCAGAAAGCCAGAGATGAAGCTGAAGCTGCCCGACTGGAGGCGGACCTGAGGGAAG